CACACAAAGACACGTATGCACACACACACACACACAGAGAGACACAGATAGACAGACAGACATACAGACATACACAGACACACATACATACACACTCAGACAGACACACAAAGACACGCACGCACACACATACACACACAGACAGACAGATAGACACGCACAGACACACATACATACACACTCAGACAGACACACAAAGACACGCAGGCACACACACACATACACACATACAGACAGACAGACAGATAGACACGCACACAGACACACATACATACACACTCAGACACACAGACACACACACAGACACGGACACACATACATACACACTCAGACACAGACACACACAGACACGGACACACATACATACACACTCGGACACAGACACACACACGGACACACAGACATGCAGACACACACATACACACACACATACTCACACAGACACACACACACACACACACACACACACACACACACACAGACACAGACACAGACACAGACACACACACAGACACACACACACACACACACACACACACACACACACACACACACACACACACACACACACACACACACACACACACACACACACACACACACACACACACACACACACACACACACACACACACACACACACACACACACACACACACACACACACACACACACACACACACACACACAGACACACAGACACACACAGACACACACACACACACACTCACACACACACACACACGCGCAGACACACACACACACACACACACACTCGTAACAATGGATGTGTCGTCTGTGAGGGATTCGAACCCATCTGGACTTTAAAGGACGACAGTTGAAACGTCCCTCAGTATAAAACATATGTTTGTATCTGGAGTGTGACTGAAACTTTCTTTCAACTTCACAAACTCAAAATGTCAACCTCAAACTGGTTTCTCCAAACGTGTGTGTCTAATTATAATGAAAAACTCTGGTTCATTTTAATCAGAATTTATTGTGTCTGTTTTTTATGATTATTATTTTTAAACTGGTCATTTTTGGATTTATTGCTGATAGATTTTTCTGGACAAAATGATCAGTTACTGTTTGGATTGAACCGAAACAAACCGGACAAAAACAAGGCTTATTATCGAAAAGATGATCAACCAATGATTTCTTTATTTTTAATCGTGTTTTGGGTTCACATTTTAGAATCTAGAACCAGGGACATTAGTCTAAGAATGTTTATTTATTTATTTTTTATTTGAATTGATACTGTATATTAACGCAGGGGTCTCCAACCTGTAGCTCGGGAGCCACCGGTAGCTCGCCAAAGGATTTAGAAATGACCAAATTCAACAATACACTTAATATTTCACATTATATTATTCATTATTGTGCAATGTTATATAATGACTGTATCCAATATCAGGCTTTTTCACACCAATATATCACCACATTTTTCCCAGGGTTAGCTAAAAGGAGTAGCTCTCTGCCTTTACTGTCCTCGGAAAGTAGCTCTTTGGGGGAAAAAGGTTGGAGACACACAATACCAGGTACTATTATTCAAAAGTGGTTTGGAGTAAATGGGACAAATGCCCTAAAAGCTATTAAAGAAAAACAGGTATTTTTAACCAAATAAAAAATCATTTAAAAATGTTAAAAGCTTTTAAGAACAATTTCAAGGGCTGAGCCCAATAGCCCTCATTTATTACTATTATTTAAAAGTGGTTTGGAGTAAATGGGTCAAATGCCCTAAAAGCTATTGAAGAAAAACTGGTATTTTTAACCAAATAAATCATTTAAAAATGTTAAAAGCTTTTAAGAACAATTTCAAGGGCTGAGCCCCATAGCCCTCAGGTAGTACTATTATTTAAAAGTGGTTTGGAGTAAATGGGTCAAATGCCCTAAAAGCTATTGAGGAAAAACCCATACTTTTCCATCAAAAGTCTTTGAAAAAACCATGAAATACAATAAAATATTAAATGTGGTAGACTAAATGTAATCTTTAGGTGTATTTTCTATCTCTTTTCATTAAAATTGTTTATTTGTATCATATTATTGATTTACACCTAAACTACATTTTTTACACAGACAGTAATTCATAGACGGTCCCTAAGTTCGAACGATCTTAGTGCTGGAGGCGAATATCCAACGTCCAACGTGAAACCAACTTCACCGCGGTACTTTATACATGTAAACAATAGAGTGGCTATCCTCCTGAGGACTCACAATCTGCCGGAGGAATCGTAGGGGGCTGGTGCTATGTGTGCCGGGTGGCATCTCTATAAGGTTTTAATCACAAAAACGTGTCTCCCAGCGCGCTTTCTGTTCGATAAAATTGGGTGACTCCGAAAGGATGTTCCACTGTTACCGTAAGTTCTCAACAAAACGCGCACCGTCTTTTCGCCGATGCGGGCCGCATGTTCATAGAGCTGAAAGATGCGGGCCACTTTACCGCGGTAAACTTCCGGAAGGGGCGGGTTCTTCGTGGCACCGGTGAGTCGCTCAGTGTATAGTTTTGTTTTGCCTCGCACAGATTGAATCTTTCCCTCACGGTCCATGGATTTATCACACGTTATCGCTCCTATGGATTGTTCCTACGAAGGTAAAACAGCTGCAGCCGCTGAAAGTCTGGATGGACTGAGGCGGAGTGTCTGGAGTTAGCTTTAGCCTCAAACCACAGACACTCCGTGATCCAGACATCCCAAATGATAAAATACATAAACACAGGGATGTCTGTTGTAAGTGCTAGTAACCGAGTCTGAAAACTAACACCAGACACTCTTTTGTTAGCAGTTTTATTGACAGTAAAGTGGAATGAGCAGTGTCTGCATTAGCATAAGCTGCATGCTTATCAGACTACATTGTGCAATAGCCTATATATATATATATTGTTTTTAATTTACCTTTACCTATTTATTGTTATTCATTCTGTTTTATTTGATCTTTTTAGTGTATTTATTGATTTTACATGGATTATATTTATTGACTGGTTGAGCATGGAGTTTTTGGTGTACTTTTTTGTTGTTGTGTGCAGCACTTTGGAACTGTTCTGTTGTTTAAATGTGCTATAGAAATAAAGTGGATTGGATATGATCTTTCTTATGTAGACGTACTGACTGTTTCTTGCAGGTGTCCACGTCACCTCTGCGAGTTCTGGTGTGAAGCTGGAAATGCCAGAGAGTCCACAGATGAAAGAGGAGCCAGAGGAACATGGCATCAAACAGGAGGAAGATGAGCTGCAAATGTGAGTCTCACTTTTACATATGGACAGTTTTAAAGTGTGTATAGTTCCTGTGGCACATGCTTAATACATGTGATTTTCCAACTGTTTTAACACGTAAATTTAAAGCTTCTGTTTTATTTGAGGTCAGAGCTGTGGGTGTGAAGGTAGAAGAATCCTGTCTGCTCCAGGAAATCCCAGAAGGTCCTCAGACTAAAGAGGAGCCAGAGGAACAGAGGATCAAACAGGAGGAGGAGCAGCTGTGAGTTCAAGCTCTTTCACATCTACAGCGTATTAACTCATGATTTTTATTAGCAGGGGTGCAACTACTCAAAACATTAGGATACTTACCCACCACTTTTCAGCCACTTTGAAAAATTTGTTTTCATCCCATCATTTTCTTTCTTTTTCAATGTTTTTTCTTTTTAGTTTTGCTGCTTTTTTCTGTTTCTTCATCTCTCAGCCGGTAAATAATGATTTTGCTGTTGTTTGTTTTATTCGGTCATGCAAATTATTATTTTTTGACATAAAAAGGCATTAACAAAAGGACAAGTCATGCTTTAACATAGATTTACAAACGCAGTTGTGACCGAAGGGATTAGGCTGAAGTATAATTTATTTTTGCCTAATCCAATTTCATTAAGTAAAGTTTCCAAAGTATGGGGCAAAACCCTTTCAAAATAGAAGCCAAACTAAATTTCAAGATCAGGAGAAAATGTAAATAAAATAAACAATAGGACGGACAGATATTAATCATTTGAGAAAACAATTACATTTTAACAACAAAAAGAAACAGCAAAAGGCTGTCATAGAAATGTAGGAGAGCTGCGAGACCTATCATTCTTGGGCTTGGTAATTTTCTAAAATATTATGTTTAATATTATTTTTAAACATCTTTAATGTGTAGGAGTTTTTAATTGTGTTGTCTAAGTTGTTCCATAGTCTCACTCCTCCTGTTGTTGCATGCGACGGCAGCCTGTCAAAGCAGCACTGTTGACTATAGGGCGCTGCTGTCAAGTGCCGCAAGATGGTGTGAGGGGGTGCTCTCCTTTGCGCGCAGACATGCTTTTATATATATATATATATATATTAGGGCTGTCAAAATTATCGCGTTAACTCACGTTAATATTTTTTTAACGCGTTAATGAAAAATGTATTGCATTAACGCACGTCCGAATGATCCGCCCATTTATCCATTATCACTCAGAATGCTGCGTGTGAGATGGCATCAGAGCAGGTAGGCCCTCTGGGGATTCATGTTTTAAAAGAATACGCGCGCCACCGCGGGGCTGTTGTTTGCTGTGAACTGAAGTCCGCCTCTTCCGTGGCCGCTCTGACTGTGAGCCGCTCACAACAACACGGCTGTGAGCGGCTGTGAGTGAGTGGCGCCGCGGTAACATGGTCACAAGACCAAACACGCCACAGAACTATTGTCTGCATGTTGTGTTCGTGTCTTTGCAACCTGTGCGTAACCTGTGCGCGCAAATACAGCGCAGGAGTGTCCCTGTCTCCTCCTGAAACTAAACTAAACTGAAACGCTGAATTAAAGCTGGGGTATGTAAATGTCCCCCTTTCATTAACAGCTCATGTTGGTTTTGCCCAAAAGCAAACAGATTTAAGTACATTTGGTATGAATGACAATGTGTCAGATATTTGATAATCTCATTTAACTTCAATTGGAGTGGATTTGAAATAGAATGTTAAAAATGCGATTAATCGTGAGTTAACTCACCATTTCTGTGCGATTAATCAACAAAAAAAATTTTAATCGTTTGACAGCCCTAATATATATATATATATAATTATTTATTATTTATTTCCTTCTAGCGTTTTGGCGCCCCTATGCAAGGCATACAGTGCATAAGTGTTCTGTTTCTGATTTGGATTCATTTTCCTTTCAGTCTTGTCTGTGTTAAGACAGAAGAGTCGTCATTGCTTCAACAAAGACAACGTGAGCACAGAGAGGAAACACAGGGAGAGAACATGAGCTCAGAGACGGAGGGAGACACTGAGCACTCCTCTGACACTGAGGATGAAGAAGAGGCACATCTTCCTCACCCTCTGTCTTCAGTCTCAGATGAAAGACATGACGACAACCACCAAGTTCAGATCAGAGCCAGAGACACGGGAGCTCAAAAGAAGAGGACACACACAGGAGACAAACCTTACAGCTGCTCAGTCTGTAACCGAGCGTTTTCTAAAAGGGGTAATCTTGAAATACACATGAGGATACACACTGGGGACAAGCCTTACAGCTGTTCTGTTTGTAACAAAGCCTTTTCAAGAAAGGGTACTCTTACTGAACACATGAGGACCCACACGGGAGACAAACCTTACAGCTGTTCAATTTGTAACAAAGCATTTACAAAAACAGATCATCTCACAGTACATATGAGAACTCACACAGGGGATACACCTTACAGATGTTCTCAGTGCAACAAAGCATTTTCCAAAAGCTGTCATCTCACTGTACATATGAGAACTCATTCGGGAGACAAGCCCTTTAAGTGTTTTGTGTGCAACAAGGCATTTTCAAGAAATGGTGTTCTTACTGGCCACATGAGGACCCACTCAGGAGACAAACCTCACTGCTGTCCCATCTGTAACAAAGCTTTTTTTTAAACTGATAATCTTGCTGTACATACACACAGGGGATAAGCCTCATCGATGCTCTATGTGCGACAAAACATTTTTCCATAGTTGTCATCTTGCCGTACACATGAGAACACATACTTTAGAGAAACCTTACAGTTGTTCAATTTGTAACAAAGCATTTTTCCAAAGTGGTCATCTCACTGTACATTTGAGGACACACACAAAGACACATATAACAGACAAGCCTCACTGCTGTTCAATCTGTAATAAAGTGTTTTCCAAAAGAGGTACTCTCACTGTTCACATGAAGAGACACACAGGGGACAAACCTTACAGTTGTCCTGTTTGTAAGAAGGCATTTACACAAAGGTACATCGTTACTGAACACATGCGGACACACACGGGGGAAAAGCCTTACAGTTGCACAATATGTGAAAAATCGTTTTCTGAACTGGGCAATCTTGCGAGACACATGAGAATACACACGGGTGAAAAACCGTTTAAGTGTTCATTTTGCAACAAAGCCTTTTCTCAAAAGACTAATCTCACTGCACACATGGGGACACACACAAGAGACAAGCCTTACAGCTGTCCTTTATGCAACAAAGCATTTAAACACAAGCTTACTCTCGACCGACATATGAAGAAATCGCACAAGAACTACAGTGTCCACTCTCTTCCTCCTCTCACAAAGGCCAGTGCAGAGAAAGAAAGGAGTAAAGTCTATGTGACTAGAGCGATTCAGAGCGTAAAGGCATTATAAAGGTGCTTTCACACCGCTGACGCCTCGCGCACCAGACGCACATTCTCTAATTTTCAGACGCAGAAGTCCTGGGCTGCAGTGGCGCCGCCGGAATGGTTTTTGATGCTAACGGAGTTAAGCTAGTGGCTTTTTGTGTAAAGTTCTTCTCCAATAATGCAGCTCTGCAGCGTCTCTGTGTTCAGAGACCGTCCAGACTTTATATAACAGCAGTATGTGTTCACGGAGGTGTGGCATACGTTTATTTTAATATTAAGCGGTACTTCCGCATTGGCGAACATGCTCAAAGCAGTTGCATAAAGTCACGGGAGCATGAAAACTCACATGTTAACAAGCACTATGTCCCACATTGTCAACCCTGGTTTAGTCCTGATGTAGCTCTTGTTTTGGCTGTTTACGAGTATTTTCAGTCTGCTCGCTCAGACTGCTAATGTCCTCGTGACCACTTTGCGGCTCTCTGATTGGTCGCTGCTCGAGTGTCTCGAGGAAACGCTCAGCAATATTTATCTCCTGCATGCGTCGATTTTCCGCTCCTGCTTCTCTGCCGCGCAGTCCGTGTGTGCGTCCCGAGACGCACATGCAGTTCGTCGCTCAAACGTGCGTCACTATTGACTTTGGATTGAAAGTCGATGCACCGCATGATCCGGTGTGAAAGCACCATAAGAGTGTATATCATGTTTATTATTATATCTATGAACTGGGATAAAAGTGCTTTTGAAATTGAATTGTTAATCCAGTTTAAAGCATTGGCGCTGTTGCTTCTACCTTGTTTGAGGAATTTTGTAATTTTGCTAAATGAAAACATGTTCTCGATCAAATACAGCTCAATTACAGCTGCAACTGTTGCATCTGGGATTTTGGTTCAATGTCTTGGGGAAGTCAAGGAGAGAATGTCCCTCCATTTTTTTAAATTATTTTTCATCTTTTTGGTTTTACTTGATTGAAATCTACTGTTCCAAAATGCAGAAGCAAGGTCTGCTCTCAGGAGTTTGATATCACCACATCACCCCTGTACGGTCTTCCTGTTTTGTTTAGATTTATTTAAAATGTAATATTGCTTTTTTTAAATCTCTCCATGGATGCTGTCTTTAGCCCTTAGATCCTAAGCCCTGTGTCTGCTGGACTGGTCATAAACGGTGGAAATCAGCCAGTCAACATTAGCAGGACCAACTCATTTGTAACTTCGACTCCCTTTTTAATTTTGATTTAAATTTGTGATGAGCTAAAATTTCTTTCATTTCAACTCATCTCGATGTGTTAATCATTTTATTTAACTGTGTTTTCATTTGGTGCAGTATTGTGTTCTATAAATAAGCTTGTCTTGATTTTGAAATAAAAGTCCTTAATAAAGTACTCTTCAATTTAATTGGACTGAGACCGTCTTTTTTGAGTCCTTGTCATTCTACAGTCTGTAGAATGTAGAATGTAGTCCTCACTGTACACTTCCAACTGGATTTCTTCATGCCACTCGTCCATAAAGGCCAGATTTGTGTAGTGCGACTGATTTCTTCCAGCTTAGTATCAGCTTGGTGCTCTCCTTGTTCGATCTGTTAATTTAGGCGGACAGCCTTGTCTTGGTAAGTTTGCAGTGGTGCCATACTCTTTCCATTTCTAAATGATGGATTGCTCCTTTGCCTCTGTGAGGCTGTTCAGTGACCAATACACTTCGACCTTAGCCCCGAGGCCCTCACAGAAAAGCTGTGTTTATACCATAGACTGATTTATACAGAGTATTTTATGCACAGGTGGCCTCTATTTATTCATTCAGGCAAGGTGTGAACATTCAGCAGTCATTAGCAATATTTTAAAGTCAACTTACTTAAGTTGACTTTAAACTTTATGAATACTCGTGCACCCTTTACTTTTAACTTTTCTATTTTTAAAATAACAGGATCATGTAGTTTTACTTTTCACTCACTTGTGTGAGAACTTCCAGTAAAAAAATTGAAATATGATCGTAAACCTGTATGTGGATTAGATAGCTGTATGACCTACGCAGGTGGACAAACGGAAGACTCTGATTGTGTATCCATGTTATGACTATGATATGCTCTGAGTGTCTCTGAATGTGACACGTATGTGTATATATCGATTTTTATATTATACATATCTACATTTATGCAATGTTTTACTGATATTGATGAATATCAGTAAAACAGTTTGCGCTTGTGGATAGACTGGTTAGTGTTGGTGCAACAGGAGGATTTAGAGAATATTGCTGAATTGTCGCAAAGCGAGTTTGGACTATGTGGCAGAGGAAGTGGGACAAAGAGACAAAGGGGATGTTCAAGGAGACACCAGTTGGGAAAAAGCAGAGCAAGTCATTTACTCCAGGTTAAGGCTTGGCCACTCTGGACCCAACTGGACTGACCCCTGATTCGGCAAAAAGAGAGACTGGATTCTATGTATGCGGATGTGTGAGGTCCGTGGAGCATGCAATGTGGCCTGTATCAAGAACAGAGGAGGTTTCTGTACAGAGGGATTGCAGAAATAGGAATAACAACTGTATCCTTAAAAAACTCTTCTTTTCCTCTCTATCCATATTCTCGAAACAGTTTCTGCAGTAATTAGATTCTTCACCTCAACCAATTTACACACTCGGATGCAATGCGGAATATAACCTGAAGGAGGCAGCAACGCGCCAGGAGGTGTCTAGCCTGCCCCAAAACGTAAAAGAAGACCGGCGCTTCACGACCAGGAAGTAGTTACAGATATATTATTTTATATATTTTATCGAAGAGGATCATGTCCAATGGGAAGCTGGCACACTAGTGATTAATTCATTATAATATTTTTTCTCGTATATACACACACACACACACATATATATTTTTATCTTTACTGCTTCCCACAGTCTATGGTGGAGCACACGTTGTTGATATGGATTTTCCCCACGAAGGTAACAGCGTCATGTGTGATCGGGTTGTTTACTTTGGGTGTTCAGCTCGTCTCTCCACAAACATATACTGTATTTTGCGACAGAGCTCTGGTTTGAGGTTTTATTCTGTTTCTGTCTGTTCCCATTAGCTTCACTCTATGATCTTGTCTGGGGTTAGCTTTAGCCTCCAACATCACAGATAATAACATCCCAGGGCTGTACGACTTTGCTACCAACACTTTTGTATATTCAAGTGCCTGAATTAGCATAAACTACATGCTTCTCCACCCTCACTATTTGGCTTCGTATGTGATTTTTACCCATTCTAGGATACGTTTACATGTATGCCTACTCTTGTGATAGTGTAATATTTGGCATTAAGTGAAGTTTCTTTGTGTTTAGCATTTAGCATTGACAAGTACAGACTTTAATATGTACTGTCAGTAAAGTCAAAATTAATTTAGATTAATAACATACATTACTATATCGTATGAGTGAAGTGTAGAAGGATTTAACTCAGATAAGATTATTTTTTATTAATCTCCATTCATCCATTTTTTCCCCCATTTAACATAGGGCTGGGCGATATGGCAAAAAAGTCATATCTCGATTTTATTTCCTGCTTTGTACGATTTTGATTTTAAATCGATTTTCTTAAAGTCACCGAAGACAGACTTTACCCTTAAAAATATGTTTTGATCTTTCCGCTCAATATTCAAGTTTCAAACTATTTTTAATTTGTTTCCCCCAATACGTATTATAAAAGTCTTGTACAGACTGTGCTGATATCGCAGTATAATCCATGTGCTGCTGGAACTCTCACAATATCCTTCATTCGATTTCACAATTTTCACATTTTTCACAAATTCAATTTTTTCAAAAGCCGATTAATTGCCTAAATTCGATTTATTGCCCAGCCCTACTTTAACATGTTGCACACTTCTGTCTTTTGCACAAGCTGAGTGATTCTCTCTGTGCCAAATGTGACATGTACATTTATCTAGTGTGAGATTAATAAAGTCTATCTTATCTTGTCTTATTGTAATAACACAGGGGTCCGTGTTTGCTTGTTGTGGACAGGATTATCAGAGTTGGTGGATTTGACCTATTATACTCGAGAAGCAACAGTGCTAACCACCTGACCAATTTTCACTGCAATCTATAGTTCCAGAGAGTCAAGTAAAGACTCAAATCATGGGCTGAGTGGATAGCACTCTCGCTTCTCAGCAAGAAGGTCCTGGGTTCGGAACAGGGCGTTTCTGAGTAGAGTTTGCATGTTCTCCCTGTGTCTCCGTAGGTTTTCTCCGGGTGCTCCAGTTTCCCCTACCACTAAAAACATGCACAATAGGTCTGAATGTGAATGAGAGAGTGAGTGGATGGTGTTGGAGCTGATGGTCCAGTGTGTTCTGGACTCGCTTCTATCATCACCGTGTGTGGAATGATTGGAACAATATCTGACTCTGAACTTTGTAAAGTGCTTTGGGTGACCTTGGTCTGTAAAATGTGCTATATAAATAAACACTACTTGCTATAACTGTGTTTGTTTAATCAAAAAGAGCACTCTCTCATCAAGCTGCTTTGTTACATTAATATATTCTCCTGACTGTCCCGTGCAGGGGTCCACATCACCTCTGTGAGTTTTGAAGGTTTGAGGCAGGAAGTGCCAGAGAGTCCACGGATGAAAGAGGAGCCAGAGGAACATGGCATCAAACAGGAGGAAGATGAGCAGCAAATGTGAGTCTCTCCCACTTTCACACTGGGCCTCATTTAGTAAAGCTGCATATGGTGGTTTTGTGTTTATACATGGTGGACCTCCTCAAGGTGGTGCATTTTCTGGAACTAGAAAAACACTCGTAGAGCACTGACTTTCGCCTCCATAATTCTTCCAAAATTAAAGCAGTAGTTCACTGGCCATTACGGATGTTTCCTGTGAATCTTTTTTTCATCTTAGTTGCCTCCAAATCCACCCATAATATTTTTTGCACAGACGCTGGGGATCACTGTAGCTCCTGGGCAGAAGTTTTTTTTTTTTTAGAAACATTGAGCATTAATCATATTTTCATCCATTTTAGTAATTAAAAACTTAACTTCTAAACATGTTCTCCGACTTCACCACCAGTTTTATATTTTTTTCTTTTGTGCAACTGTACAAAGGCTCTTTTTATTACAATATTATCAATATTTCTTTGTGTTTCCTCTCATGTTTGCAGATGACACATTCATTCTACTTTCTAACCAACATTTTGATTCACTAATGCAGAGCAAATGATAGATTATCGAATATTGTGGGTGGTTTAAAATAAATCAACTCCCTCAATACAGAAGACAACCATTATCAAGACAATAGTGAATTGTTCATTTTTACATCAATAAATAAAGTTGCCAACACCAAGATTGTTAAGTATGATCTTTCCATATCAGTTGTGACTAAAAAGGATTTTGAGGCCTCATTCACAGAGTTGTATATTATATATGTCCTTCCTGTTTCCTTACACTTGTGATTTTAAACCATTTAAAACAATGGGTTCACAGCAGCTCTGTTGTGTCTAAATGCAGAGCTGTGAGTGTGAAGACAGAAGTCCCTGAAAGTCCACAAACTGAAGAGGAGCCAGAGGAACAGAGGATCAAACGGGAAGAAGAGCAACTGTGAGTTTCAAGCACTTTAGCAATTACAGCATTTTTTCCCCCTTCTTATTTGATTATAAGGCATACCTTTTATAAAAGCTGCTCCACCTGCATTTGAAAAGAAAATCTGAGCACATAACGGCCACAGGTTTTGATGTTGTAAGGTCGACAACATGATTTAAAGTGTTTTAACGGGGGCGACAGTGAACCTTTGAGTCGGAAGGTCGTTGGTCCAAGTGTTCCTGGGCAAGGCGCTTAACCCCACTTTGCATGAAGCCCCCACTGAAAGATCATGGCTCCTGTGAACTCAGCACCTGCAGGAGGATCAGTGAGGGGCTGGTTCTCTGTGAAGAAGAAAATGGATGGATGTTTAACAGTGCAACCGTTAGCTTCCATGCCAGTACTCTTTCACCTCATTCTATTTTGTCAGTAAACAAACGTCCTAAAGCTACTAAATCTTCATGGGGTCAAAATAATCTGTCCATAAACTGCTCTGGCAACAGCACAACTTGACCACAATTCAAATGCACAGATTAGCTGCATCAATATATAAACTACGGGTTAAACTAGTAGCGGCTTATAGTCCAGACATTACCGTACGTACAGTGCCTTGCGAAAGTATTCGGCCCCCTTGAACCTTTCAACATTTTGCCACATTTCAGGCTTCAAACATAAAGATATCAAATTGAATTGTTTTGTCATGAATCAACAACAGGTGGGACACAATCGTGAAGTGGAACTAAATTTATTGGATAATTTAAACTTTTTTAACAAATAAAAAACTGAAAAGTGGGGCGTGCAATATTATTCGGCCCCTTTACTTTCAGTGCAGCAAACTCAGTCCAGAAGTTCAGTGAGGATCTTTGAATGATCCAATGTTGTCCTAAATGACTGATGATGATAAATAGAATGCACCTTGTGTGTAATCAAATCTCCGTATAAATGCACCTGCTCTTTGATAGTCTCAGGGTTCTGTTTAAAGCACAGAGAGAACCATGAAGACAAAGGAACACACCAGGCAGGTCCGAGATACTGTTGTGGAGAAGTTTAAAGCCGGATTTGGATAAAAAAGATTTCCCAAGCTTTAAACATCTCAAGGAGCACTGTGCAAGCAATTATATTGAAATGGAAGGAGTATCAGACCACTGCAAATCTACCAAGACCCGGCCGTCCCTCCAAACTTTAATCTCAAACAAGGAGAAGACTGATCAGAGATGCAGCCAAGAGGCCCATGATCACTCTGGATGAACTGCAGATAACTACTGCTGAGAACAATCAGTCGTGCACTGCACAAATCTGGCCGTTTATGGAAGAGTGACAAGAAGAAAGCCATTTCTCAAAGATTTATCCATAAAAAATAGTCTTGTTTAAAGTTTGCTACAAGCCACCTGGGAGACACACCAAACATGTGGAAGAAGGTGCTCTGGTCAGATGAAACCAAAATCGAACTTTTTGGCCACAATGCAAAACGATATGTTTGGCGTAAAAGCAACACAGCTCATCACCCTGAACACACCATCCCCACTGTCAAACATGGTGGTGGCAGCATCATGGTTTGGGCCTGCTTTTCTTCAGCAGGGACAGGGAAGATGGCTAAAATTGATGGGAAGATGGATGGAGCCAAATACAGGACCATTCTGGAAGAAAACCTGTTGGAGTCTGCTAAAGACCTGAGACTGGGACGGAGATTTATCTTCCAACAGGACAACGATCCAAAACATTAAAGACAAATCTACAATGGAATGGTTCACAAATAGACGTATCCAGGTGTTAGAATGGCCAAGTCAAAGTCCAGACCTGAATCCAATCGAGAATCTGTGGAAAGAGCTGAAGACTGCTGTTCACAAACGCTCTCCATCCAACCTCACTGAGCTTGAGCTGTTTTGCAAGGAAGAATGTGCAAGAATTCTAGTCTCTCGATGTGCAAAACTGATAGAGACATACCCCAAGCGACTTGAAGCTGTAATTGCAGCAAAAGGTGACGCTACAAAGTATTAGAGCAAGGGGGCCGAATAATATTGCACGCCCCACTTTTTGAGTTTTTTATTTGTTAAAAAGTTTAAATTATCCAATACATTTCGTTCCACTTCACGATTGTGTCCCACTTGTTGTTGATTCTTGACAAAAAAAATATTTTTTATATCTTTATGTTTGAAGCCTGAAATGTGGCGAAATGTTGAAAGGTTCAAGGGGGCTGAATACTTTCGCAAAGCACTGTAATTATCACCAGTTCAGGGCAAAGTTTCTGTTTCTGATTTGGATTACATTTCTTTTCAGTCCGGTCTGTGTGAAATCGGAAGAGCTTCGACAAAAACGACGTGAGCACAGAGAGGAAACACGGGGAGAGGACGAGAGCTCAGAGACGGAGGGAGACACGGAGCACTCCTCTGACGAAGAGGCAGATCTTCATCATATTCAGCCTTTGTCTTCAGATGATGGAGATGACTGTCAAATCCAGATTAAAGCCAGAGACATGGCTGCACACACAGGAGACAATCCTTACATCTGTTCATTTTGCAACAAAACATTTTCAAAAAAGAGGTATTTCGATGAACACTTGAGAACACACACAGGAGACAAACCGTTTAGCTGTTCAGTCTGTAAAAAAGCATTTTCTCAAAGGGGTAGTCTTTACGTGCACATGAGAATACACACAGGAGACAGACCTTACAGTTGCACAGTCTGTGAAAAACTGTTCTCTACTTCTGCCAATCTTGCAAGACATATGCCAACACACACCGGCGATAAGCCATTTAGCTGTCCAGTCTGTGACAGAGCCTTTTCCCTGAAGTGTACCCTCACATCACACTTAGGGACTCACACAGGGGCCAAACCTCACAGCTGTTCTATATGTAACAAAGCTTTTTTAAACAGGGGTAATCTTACAGTACACATGAGAGGACACACGGGGGAAAAGCCTTACAGCTGTTCTATGTGCGACAAAGCATTTTCACAAAAGAGTCATTTCAAAGAGCATTTCAGGACACACACTGGTGTAAAACCATTTCACTGTTCCATCTGTAGCAAAGCATTTTCCAAAAGGAGTAATCTGAATGCACACATGAGAGCACATACAGGGGAAAAGCCTTACAGTTGTACAATTTGTGAAAAATCGTTTTCTGAAAAGAGTATACTTAGAGAACACACAAAAACGCACACACCTGATAAGCCGTTTAGTTGTTCAGTCTGTCGCAAAGTGTTTTCCCAAAAGAGATATTTGGAAGGACACATACGGACTCACACGGGAGAAAAACCTCACAAATGTTCAATATGTAACAAAGCGTTTTTAAGAAGTAGTGCTCTTACTGTGCATATGAGAGTACACACGGGAGATAAGCCTTACAGCTGTTCAATCTGTAGCAAAGCATTTTCCCAGCGCACACATCTTTTTATTCATATGAGAACGCACACTAGACAGGAGCCTTATAGTTGTACAAGTATTGAATAATCTTTTTTGGATAATGGTGCACCTGCAAAAAACAAAATTACAAGGCAACAACATTTTTAAGTCTCAAAGGTCTAAATTCTAGTTAACATTGTGTGTATGTAATTTGTTTATTCTCTAAATAAATAAAATAAATGACTTCTAGTTTGATGTGAAATGTGAGAAGTGTAATGACATCTATCACGGACATTATTACTGATAAGTAATAGCAATACTATAAATACTATATCACTGTTTCAAAGTGTTCCTGTATGATATGTTCCTTCTTATACTGTATGTGCATTAAACTGGATATTCACCTTATTCCAAATCTAAAACTACTGAATTGCTTTTTTGTCCAGTGAGAGGGTGGTCTCCTCTACTGTCGTTGAGTGTTGTAGTGACACTGTTGCAGCTGTAGCCGAATGAATGAAGGCTCGTACTGATGTGTTTGTTTTCATTGTATTTCAAACTTTCACCTTAAACATATATACATTTAATCAGTTAAGTACAGACAAATTCATGAAGATCATATCAATATACACAGCTGTTATCCCCTTTCGGATAGGCAAAAACTATTCAAAACAGATTAGACAGGTCCCTCTCCTAATATAGATGGTCCCTCTGTCCAACCCACACACTGTAGCGCCATAGACTGTACAATCCGGAAGCAACCGGAAGTGGCCTGATAAACTTCAAAATAATAAAATACGTTTCTTACAGCCATGGATCTATTATAATAACGCTTACAGCACTGTAACTTTCTCACACACAAAATGTTCTCTTATTGTGAAAGTACTTTCGGAAGTGAGACACCGGATGTTTCCTTTTTCCAGAGGTTCTACTGCAGCTGTTATTGTTAGGTGAGAAGTTTGCTGAGATTACGTTGAACACACTCTCAACATGTAAACTTCTGCTTTGTCTTTTTTAAAGACAATATTTACATAGTGGAACAGTATTGACGCCACCAGGACCGCGCAGCAGCCATGGCAGCTCAGATCCCTGATTGTGTGGTGAACGGTGGCACGGGGTATGTGACCAAAAAAGATTGTTGTTAGCATTAGCATCATTAGAAATAGCTCCACGCGCACACCGACGTAAACACAACAGACAGCTGCTAACGTCACGTGCAGCGGCAGATAGCGTCCACCTTTGAAATGAAACGGAGGCTAATGTTTTTTTTTTTTGTTCAACCTTGTATTCCTGACTAGCAATGAATGTAGCTGGCTAAAGCTAACAAGGCTTTCCGTGCGATAAAAATAATAATATTAATACATAAGCGCTGCACAGTCATTATAATAAGCAATAAAAGCAATCATGATAATACGAAGTCAAAATAATTATATCGAATAAGTAGATACTGGTAGAACAAGCAGACGGAGGACACACAAGGAGAAAGACATTGATTTAAAAGAGGATACTGATGGTGCAAGCCTTTTCTGAATGAATCTATAAAAAATATTTCGAGGTCAATACACAACTTTATTTTTGCCAAAGTATGACTGCGATCTGCTTTCATAACAAGGCAAGTTTATATGTATAGCACAGTTCATACCCAATGCAACTCAAAGTGCTGTACAAAACAAGATACAAACGGTCTCACAAGGCATTAAAAGCATAAATAATCACAGTACATATAAAACAAAAATGTACATATAAAATCCCTCTGTTGTATGCACACTACAGCTTCACAGAACTGTTTTTAACCTGGATTGAAAAAAAAAATTAAACCAGAGGAGAGGCCTATCTCTAGATTGTTAGAGATTTTAGCAGCATGAACCTGAAATGCAGCCAGTGCCGGCGTGGCTAATCGGGAGAGCCGGGAGGTTTCCCGGTGGGCCGGTTGGGCCTAGTTTATACTCGCGCGGCGCGGAGCTTACGGAGGTGACGTGACGTCACTTGCGCAACGCGTTGGTCACCGCAAGGCCCTTACGTTGCCTGTCCTGCAGCATCGAAATTTTCTAACTACGTCGCCGCAAGGAATCTCCGCTGTGATTGGTCCGTGTGTGTGTATTGGAAGGTAGCACGGAGCGGCTGCAGCAGGAACATGGACGAGGCACTATGGAGCAGAGAGCTTTGTGCTTCGAAGGAAAAGCAGTTTGGGCTCAGAGCCTGATATACAGGAGACTGTGGACTATCTAACATATATATAACTTATATATAACATATATATAACTTATAAACTGTGCAGTCGTTTGTTTTGCACTGTTCCTGTCTTTGTTTGAATCGTAGCTGCGTTTGTTGCTTTCCTCCTGCACTCGTAAATCGTTCATGTTTGTCTCAGATATTTACCACTATTATTGTTTTGTTGTTTGTGCTGAAAACTATTTAATAATAACTATGTTTCCAACAAGAACTGTGTCTTTATTCACAGCATCACAGTTGAAATGACTTATAAAATAATGAATCCATAAAACTCTCACATAAACCTGCAGTAGAAACACGTGTAATGATCTCAAACAGCTTTGTTTGTTATTGTTGTTCTGAAGAGGACAAAGTAGCAGCGTAAATGGGACCGCTCCTGTGTGATCGCACTCATGTGGTTTGTTGTGGGATTACAACATTCTCCTCAAAACTCCGTAAGGGGAACGCGCCAGTATAACATCAATTGTGCTTACGTAGGTCCACCGCAACCGCTAACGTAAGCCACGCCGCGCAAGTATACTCTAGGCTTGGGCCGGTGGGCTGGTTGGACTTGGTCGGCAGCCGTGCTTTCCTGACACCGCCTTCTCGGACCTGTCGCTCGCCCGTGCGCACTGCCTCTCTCTCTCTTTCTCTCCCACACACGCACACACACGAGTAAACAGCACACACACTTCTGGCTAGTCTCATTTGGCCACTTTCATTGGTTAGCTCCTAAAATAATCATGATAATTAAAGCACCTTACACAGACTAGACATTGTACCCTCTTCCTCCACACGGCTGTTTAGATGACTTGATTGACCAGGCAGTGAAACAAGGGAGAGAGGAGAAATAAAAAGGGGCACAGCCAAACATGGGCTCCATCAGGTTACGGCAATCTCTACATCACTGTATGGGACGGACACTTTGGGGAATCGGACTGTTTTTGTTTGTGTCTCTAACTACTTGTCTCCAAGTTTTGTAATCGAGTATTTAACATGATTATGTCTCTTTTGCAGACACACAAAGCTTGGCTGTGCTGGAAACAAGGAGCCGCAGTTGATCATTCCTTCATGTGAGTAACATGAACATAACATGCATTATTTTAGTGAAATTGGCTTCAATGAGGGCCAGCGAGCAAGCGTACAGCGTCAGTATGTGTGCACGTCATTTCATTGGATACGTGACGGTGAGCAGAATATCAGTGGAGCAAGGTCAATGCGATAAACAAAAAAAAAATGCCATTTAGTGTAGCACAAGTAGTTTTAGTTCTTTCATCTGTCAGAGTCGATTTGGTCTTAGATTATACAGAGTAGATGTACTATGCCGTTTTCAGGAAAAGCTAAACGCTGCCTCTCGGTGAGGTCTGTATCATGTTTCTGTGACGCTGCTCTGGGTGCGACAGATTGAGTGATTTGATTTGACTGTGCCCTCTGCGCTGTTTTGTGAACACAGGTGTTAAAGCTCATACTGTTGGTGAGTGAATAAAACAGAGTAGACTAATATAACTCTGATACAACACCCATATTGGTGTAAATGCATAATGTGCAAAGCCATGGCATCAGAATTATTGTCTAAGAGGTGGATTCAATCAGAGATGGCATCACTGCAGGCGAAGGTCTGAAATGACCGGCCCACTACTGCTTTTAGGTGCAGCTGTATAGAAACGGCACCAGCCTTTGAAAAGAAAGTCTTATTCTGTCCACATTTTAGGTTTACACATTTATAACCCAGTTGAATGTTGTAATGTAACTTAACCGACAGCTGATGACTGTTTCGTTTTAACTGGACACAACATGATTTAATGAAGAGGCGTTTGAAAGCCCATTTGATATAAACATGCTTCCAAACTCAACTAGTTCTAGATTCAAAATAATGTAAATATAGAGAACGCTCAAACAAAATAGAAAGGCATATATTGCATGGTGGTCTGCATTACCACATTATTGTATCAGAAGTTACTGATACTAGCGTAGATTAATCTATAAGCAGATGTGCGTGCGGACTTCCCCTGGAGGAGACCCGGGGAAGACCCAGGACATGCTGGAGGGACTAGTCTCTCAGTTGGCCTGGGAACGCCTTGGGGTCCCCCCATGACCTGGAGAAAGTGTGTGGGAAGTCTGGGCGTCTCTGCTTGGACTGTAACCCGGCAACGGATGAAGCAGAATAAAATGGATGGATCTAAAAGCAACAACAGATCTGTAACATGCTCCTAAAAGTTCCATCCATCCATCTATCCATTTTCTTCCCCTTAATCCATTTCTGGGTCGGGGGGGTGGCAGTCAGAGCTGCAGCCAGTACACAGAGCACCAGCCCCTCTCTGATCCTCCTGCAGGTGGTGACTCCACAGGGGCCTTGGTTATTCAGCAGAGGCTTCAGGCCAAGTGGGTTTAAGTGTCGTGCCCAGGGACACAATGACAGCAGACATCAGTGGGAGTCGTGAAGTAGCTCTTGTGGTGGGCTTGAACCCACGACCTTCAGGCCACTGTCGCCCCTAAAAGTTGATTTAGCTTAATATGTCTCAGATTACAACATGTTTTCAACAATATGACATTTGAATGTGATTTGCAGCAATAACAAGAGTGAGCTCAACATTATTATATATATTACATTATTTTATTTAGCTGCACAAATGGTCATATTATAATTGAGTGTCTTCGGTTATGTTTATAGTATTTACGGTATAGTATATATTTACTATATATATATATAGATTTACGGTTTTCCATTCTGATATTTAATCCAAATTAGACTTTCTGTACCAAGTCGGGTGGTTGAATATGTGAAATGCCCTTTCTGTAAAAAGTGCATTTTGGATATTGTAGAACCGGACCCATATTTTGTATTGTGAACCCCTGTTATGTCTGTATCACTCCTAAACATTATTATCTGAAGAACTGAATGTATTCTCAATGATGACGCCTCTGTGATGACGTTATGGACTGTCTCTTGCAGGTGTCCTCATCACCTCTGCGAGTTCTGGTGTGAAGCAGGAAATGCCAGAGAGTCCACAGATGAAAGAGGAGTCAGAGGAACATGGCATCAAACAGGAGGAAGATGAGCAGCAAATGTGAGTTCCACTTTCACTCAGTGTCTTGCACATGATAGGACCGTGTGAGGTTTGTCCCATTTCTCCACATTTAAGCACTTTCCACTAAAACATTAAAAGACCAGAGGATAATCAGCCACAGGAATACAGCAGCAGAAACACGATCGTCCATACAAACAAAACAAATATATTATTCTAAAAGTAGCTAACAATAGTATTAAAATGCAACAGCAGCAGAGGTGGAGTAGCCGCTTGGTTCAGACCATTTTCTCTGCTCGGGTCAATGCAATGTGATATTCAAGGATTAGACCACATAGTATGGGTTGGAATGATCACACTAAGCCCTGTTTATACTGAGACGCTGCGCAGACGTTTCCAGGCTATTAACAGAAACGACCTGGCTCCTAATGCAAATTTCTCAGCGTTCACATGAGGTTGAAAAACGATGTAGTTCTAGCGCCCGGCCAGTAGTGGGCAGAGAACTTTACAACACGACACACGACCCCCAGCCCCGTGCCCAGCCCCCCTCTCGGCAGTGTACTCACTTCCTGTGCCAGACCCTCAGAAAGTACCAACATCATTCTACCTTTTAACAGCAGCTGTGAAAATGGAAACTGAACCTAGAGCTTCGCGTGGTCTCGTTTGGACGAACGAAGGAGTAGAATTATCCTCTGTCCCGCGCTGGAAGCCCACGAAGCTAGTTAGTGTGACCGCCGCCATTGTTGTTTATGTTTGTTCTCCGCTACTGCGCATGTCCAAATGTACGTGCGGGGAGCAGCGCGGAGGCGGGGGTCAGAGCAGAGGGGGATTTCACACCTTTTCCCTCTCGCGGGTGTGAAAGAGAGCCCCCGCTGTGCAGCGTTTCTGAGTTGTCCCACTCTGCAGGCTGGATCTGAACACTTACGTTTTCACCCCCCTGGAACACAGTCTTCGTATGAACGGTTGGTAGCAACCGACATCCAACTATACCGTTTTACTGCCACATTGTCTCCGTGTAAACTCAGCCTAAGCTCACCTCGACTGTGTTTGCTGGGAGATAAATCAGTACTTCCTGGAGTAAATAAACTTAAATATACAGTTGTGAAAGTGCGAGTAATTACGGCAGCACGGATCAAACAGGGGGAAGAAAACATATTTAGAAAAGGTTTATTGTAAAAAATTTAGCATCGAAAGAATGATGACAAACTCAGATTGGATTAGCTTCAACTTCATTGTCATTACTGTGTCTGAGCAATGCAACGAAATGCAGTTTAGCATCAATAGCGAACGTGGAGGATAATATAGACAAGACTGATACATATATAATTAATGGATGCACTTGCCAGTGCATCCATTAATTATATAACATTACATTAAAGTGCATTTAATGGCCTTAATAAACCGGATGAGAGTTCAAGAGTGTGACTGTTCTGTGATGAGGAAAAAAAAACAATTTAGGCCTGGAGGATCATCCCAGAACATATGTATTTATACTGACATGACAATGTTCTACATGAGCAATATATTACATTAACGTGGTAAATAATATTAGATTCATTTCACTTCCTGTAAATCATTTGGTTTTATTTTCTCAATGTTATTTTCTTAAATTGGCATCAGTACTGGGACTTGTGGTCTCGCATGAACCAGGGCTGTTAAAGTAATTTCAAATAATAATATTGTGTAATAAGTGTTTGCCAAGCCCTGGTTTAGACAAATGAATTTACAGAAACTCTCTTTTATCTGAGTTCAGAGCTGTGCGTGAGCAGACAGAACAACCCTGTCTGCTCCAGGAAATCCCAGAAAGTCCTCAGACTAAAGAGGATCCAGAGGAACAGAGGATGAAACGGGAGGAGCAGCTGTAAGTTACTGAATTTTTACTCACTTATTACTTATTATTATCAGATTAAAGTCAGTGAGGATTTCTGATTTAATTTCCTTTCAGTCCTGTCTGTGTGAAGACGGAAGAGTCGTCCCTGCTTCAACCAAGACAACATGAGCTCAGAGAGGAAACACAGGGAGAAGACATGAGCTCAGAGACGGAGGGAGACACTGATCACTCCTCTGACTATGAGGATGAAGAAGAGGCACAAGTTCATCATCTTCAGCCTCTGTCTTCGGACACGGATTATGAAGACAACCCCCGCCAAATCCAGAACGGAGCCAGAGAGACGGCTGCTCAAAACTTCACACACAGAGAAGACAAACCTTACCGCTGCTCAGTCTGTACAAAACTATTTTCAAAAGAGTGTAATCTTGAAGTACATATGAAAAAACATACTGGAGAAAAGCCTTACAGCTGCTCTGTGTGTAACAAAGGCTTTACAAAAAGACGCAATCTTAATGAACACATGAGGTACCACACAGGGGACAAACCTTACAGCTGTTCTGTGTGCAGCAAGGCGTTCACAAAAGGACGTAATCTTAATGAACACATGAGGTACCACACAGGAGACACACCTTACAGCTGTTCTGTCTGTAGCAAAGGATTTCCAAAAAAGCATAATTTCAATGAACACATGAAAACCCACACAGGGGACAGACCACACATCTGTGCAGTCTGTAAAAAAGGCTTTATCAGGAAGTGTGCGCTTACTGAACATATGACCATCCACACAGGAGAGAGACCTTACAGCTGTTCTGTGTGTAACAAAGGGTTTACAAAAAGACGTAATCTCACTGCACATATGAGAATACATATAGGAAACAAACCTTACAGCTGTACTGTCTGTAACAAGGGATTTCCAAAAAAGAGGTATTTCAATGAACACATGAGAACACACACAGGAGACAGGCCTCACATCTGTTCAGTCTGCAACAAAGGCTTTTCTCAAAGGAGTACTCTTTATGTGCACATGAGAACACACACAGGAGACAGACCTTACAGCTGTACAGTCTGTGAAAAACGGTTCTCTAATCCCGGGAATCTTGCGAGACACATGAAAACGCACGCAGACAACAAACCATTTTGCTGTCCAATCTGTAGCAAAGCATTCTCCCTGAAGAGTTTTCTTACCGAACACATGAAAACACACACAGGAGATAAACCTCACAGCTGTCCAATCTGTAACAAAGCTTTTTTAAGAAAAACTAATCTTACTGTACATATGAGGACACACACCGGAGACAAGCCATACAGCTGTTCGTTCTGTAACAAAGCATTTTCTCAAAGTAGTACTCTAAATGTACACACGAGGATACACACAAGAATACAGAGGAGCTGAGCATTACAGCTGTTCAGTCTGTAACGACGCATTTTCCCTGAGGGGTCATCTTGTGAGACATGAGGAAGGATACAGTGGGGCAATAAAGTATTTAGTCAGCCACCAATTGTAAAAGTTCTCCCATGTAAAGATATGACCTGTAACTTTTATTATAGCTCTACCTCAACTATGAGAGACAGAATGGGGAAAAAAAATACACAAAAACACGTCTGAATTTTAAAGAATTTATTTGCAATTTTTAGTGGAAAATAAGTATTTGGTCAATAACAAAAAAAGTTAATCTCAACACTTTGTTATATACCCATTCGTTTTTTACACGGTCGTCCTAGTTTGCAGAAAAACATCTCCAGAGCATGATGTTTCCACCCCCATGCTTCACAGTAGCTATGGTGTTCTTTAAATGCAACACATCATTCATCATTCAACACAGAGTTTTTGTTATTGTCTGTTTCTCTAATGAAAATTACAGGCCTCCCTCTCCCTTTAAGTGGAAGAACTTGCACAATTGGTGGTTGACTAATGATTTATTTGCCCCACTGTACAAAGTACAAGCTTGCAACAGAAATGTTGACAAACGCAGAAACCCTTACAGCTGTCCAGTGCTTTGTCACCTTTATTTTGACTGTATCAATTAATGTGAAAAGATAACTTTATTCTCGTGATACTATGAGAAAAAGTTATTGAAAATATGAGAAAAAGTCGTATTACTGAGGCGTTTTCTAACCTCCACTTTATCATCATATTACAACTTTAGTTAAAAAACTGACTTTAATCTCAAACCGTCTGGCAAAAGCCCCATGATTTGTGATGGTTTTTCTATAGACTAGTTATATTACAACTGGAAAAAGGAGTAGTTCTCTTTATCTGTGAGCTACTCACTCACTACTGTCAAAGTAGCTCACATATTGAAAAAGGTTAAAGATCACGGGTGGAAATGGACATGAAATAGACAAAAGGCAGTGTTTGTAATTCTTTAATCTGAGATTCTCCGTCTGAATCCAGGAAACATCTGACACAAATGTGGAGCTGTGATTGAACACTTTGTTTTCTTGACTGATACAATGTGAAGAGTAAATGTGTCTTTATTTTGTGTACCTGCGCGTATACTTGTGTAACAGTGTTTTGTAAAGTGGATGTGTATACTACAGTTGTTTTATGTTATTAATGAAATTGGAATGACATGTTTACATACTTTCACTTCAGAGATTGGTGCCTTGTGGATTTTAGATCCATCTTGAATTTGTGTGTATGACAAAAGGTGTCAAACTTCAGCCTGAACCCTGTGGGTTCAAAAAACGAGTAATGAATGTGAAATGTTTTCTTTGTTGTTTTTGTAAACCAAAGAATCCATTAAAGACATGAAGTGCTTGCTCCCATTAATTCAACATTCTGTTCTCCTCGTGTAATATTTGGATTTGTTTATAAGACATAATAGTCTTATACCAGGGAAATTTCCCCACTGAGACGAATAAAGTATCATCTTCTTTTACACAGTGTTGAAGCTTGTCTCACATTTTCTGGAACATTAGTCTTGACTCTGGACACCAGCAGGAGACCTGTCCGTGTGTGCTCCTCAGCGTCTCAAAAGGAGGCTGGTCCCAAATATAGTTTGATACTAACCGGATCAGTTCAAAATGTGTGCACTATTTACAGCCATATTATGTTCAAAATGACAACAAAACATTTGTGTTGCAAACACTGTCTTTACTCTTATTGATATATTAGCTGGACAGGTATTTTTAAGTAATAATCTGAATTGATTCCAGAAGATTTCACGTGTGGATTCCTCCCTCATTGTGCAGTGGAGTGATCTTGTCTGAGGTCAAAGGTGGACATCCGCTGTAATAGTCCACGTGTTCTTTCTTACAGCTTCACAGCTGCTCAATATGTGAACAACCTTTTAGGAAAAAAGTAACCTTTCAGAACCTCTGACGAAGGCGCAAGTCTCCCGCCGAAACATGTCAGGCAATTAAGCAGAACTAGCTTTCTTCAGTACCTTTTTCTCTACTTTTTTGTCCTATTAAAAGAACCTTCTAAGCCTTAAACATAAGACAAAATTAACTTTTTACATTTACAAACCTTACAGCTGTTTGATGTGTAACAAAGCATTCTTCCATTAGTTTATACAAACGAAACCAGAGATAATTCATGTTTCAAATAAATTCTCTTAGTGATTTTGTTGAGCCGTAGTTGAACAGTTAGTTTTGATAAGTGATGAGTACATTTAAGCAAGTTAGGTTTATTTGTATGGCACAATTCATACACAAGGCAACTCAAAGTGCTGAACAAAACAAGACAAACACTCACACAAGTCTTTCAAATAATCACAGTACTTTAAAAATACAGATAAAAATGTAAAATCCCTCAGTATGCACAGCTAAACAGAACTGTTTTTAACCTAAATTTAAACATGGTCAGAAAAGTATGGGGTGCCGTTTGTAAAAATTCTGTTAAAATTTTTTAGCTGAACATTTTTCTACATTTAGCTCACTTTCCTCACATTTAGCACATTTTCCTCACATTTAAGACATATCTATATCTAAATATTATATCTATATCTAAATGTTAAATGTTATATCTAAATATTATATCTATATCTAAATGTTATATCTATATCTAAATGTTAAATCTAAATGTTAAATCTAAATGTTAAATCTAAATGTTAAATCTAAATGTTATATCTATATCTAAATGTTATATCTATATCTAAATGTTATATCTATATCTAAATGTTATATCTATATCTAAATGTTATATCTATATCTAAATGTTATATCTATATCTAAATATTATATCTATATCTAAATGTTAAATGTTATATCTAAATATTATATCTATATCTAAATGTTAAATCTATATCTAAATGTTAAATCTATATCTAAATGTTAAATCTAAATGTTAAATCTAAATGTTAAATCTAAATGTGTCGCCAAGTGTAAAGCTAAATATATAGAAACCACGCCCACTGCAGTGGCTTCAAATCCAGTGGGCCCGCCTTCCGTGCCGTGTGGTGAGAACCCTACAGGATTACACAGGAATCTCACGGGACTCCACGTGGCTTAGTTTACAGTGAATACACTCTGGCTCCAGCAAATAAGCAAGAATCTTCACAAAAATGCTAATTTTGTGCCGTGGCCAAGGACGATGGCGCCGGAGACCCAACATGCCTTGAGCCGTGACGTCGGTCCACGTGTATTCCTATGTTCAAAACACGCGGCACCGCCCCCACTCACCACCACCAGAATTTTTACAAACGGCACCCCATAGAAAAGAGGTCAGTCTCACTTTTTCAGGAAAATTGTTCCAGATTTTAGCAGCATGAATCTGAAAAGCAGCCTCCCCATGTTTAGTCCTGACTCTGGGCACTAACAGGAGTCCAGTCCCTGTGCTCCTCAGAGTCCGGGCTGGTTCATATGTATGGAAGCCCGTTTCCGCCTTGTATAAAAAAAAAAAAAAGCAAACAGAAAGTCAAAATTTTGAGTTTAAAACTCAAAATTACGACTTTTAAAAGTCAAAATTTCGACTTTAAAAGTCACCATTACGACTTTAATAGTCACAATTTCGACTTTAAAAGTCAAAATTACGACTTTAAAAGTCAAAATTTCGACTTTAAAAGTCACAATTACGAATGTGCAGTTGAAAACTCGTATATGTTGTTGTCTGGAACGGTCTCTGGACGTCCTTCACCTGCAGATTATGTGAAGATATTGCCGACAGTGACCACTGCATCCATGAAGAAGCCAGAAATAATGTTGTTTGATTGATTCTGTAAAACTTTCCTGTTTAAGCCCCAGACCGCGGTCGTAGGACGCAGAGGGGGCTGTCTTTTGATTTATTTATGTTAAATTCAATTTACATATATACAACGTTTAAATCAAACGACCTCTTATTTCGACATAGTAACAAATAATGTGAGCAATACGTTTTTATAATAAATCAAAGGAAAATGAGCCATCGAGACATTCCAATCCAATCATCGTCTGACCAGACGATGACGCTGAGAGGGGTCCACACGGAGCGAGTATTTCCACGACTGAAATGATGCGCTTTCTACGTGTTGAGTACGGGGTTTTATTCATGCATCTATAATGGGTTTAAGTCCCTTTTCAAAGACCCTCACTGTTATCTGCGGAGTTATTTCTCCGGATTCTTGCTAAAAGAGTCGTGGGCTTTATTTTGTCACAATAAAATAATCAGACAAGGCACTTATTCCCTGTATGTCTCTGTGTTCTTGCTCATACGCCAACAACTTTACCACACGCTCCATCAGCTCACCCCCGCGTGCACGCAAACACGTCACATACTCTTCAATGCACTGATCGCAATTCCAAAAGGTTTAATATTGTCAGTGCCCGTGACTGTGGTTCTCCTGCCTCTGTCTGTGGTTCTCCTGCCTCTGTCTGTGGACCTCTCACTGTCCTGTAATCGCGAACGGTCTCTCTGTCAGTCACAATATCATTCACTGCATTTCTGGTGCATCCATCGATAGCCGTGATACTGACCAGATGTCACCAGTTGATGCTCAATGACTTTGAACAGCCGCATGTGTTTTATTATTAATCTTCCACAGTCCGTTTAGGATAAACTAAATAGAGGCTTCTGAAGCGGATTCTAATCATAAACGGAGAGACCGTTTGCATTTTAACGCGATTACTACCACAACATTATTGCTGCTACTTCATGGATGTGGTCACTGTCTGTAGGAAAAATCTTCACATAACCTGCAGGTAGAGGATGACCCATGGTCATGGATCTATAACATTTTGACTTTTAAAATCGAAATTTTGAGTTTTAAAGTCGAAATTTTGACTTTTGAAGTCGAAATTTTGACTTTTGAAGTCGAAATTTTGAGTTTTAAAGTCAAAATTTTGACTTTCTGTAGGCTTTTTTTTTTTACATGGCGGAAATGGGCTTCCATACATATGGGACTAACATGTCACTAATATATTTTGGTGCGAGGCCATGGAGAGACTTGTACACAAGCAGAGCTGTTTTAAAGTCTATTCTCTGAGCCACAGGAAGCCAGTGCAGAGACCTGAGGACCGGACTAATATGGTCGTACTTCCTGGTTCTAGTCAGGACTCGAGCTGCTGCATTTTGAATGTACTGCAGCTGTTTTACAGCCTGTTTGGACAGACCTGTGAGCAGTCCATTGCAGTAGTCTAACCTACTGGAGACAAATGCATGGATAAGAATCTCCAGGTCTGCTTTAGACACTATGTTTTTGATCCTGGCAATGTTTTTAGATGGTAAAAAGCTGCTGATGTTACTGATTTGATGTGGCTATTAAAATTTAAGTCTGAGTCCGTATGGGACCAGTCCAGTTTATTGTTCATGTGAACACCCAGGTACTTGAAGCTGCTCACCAATGTCCTTCCCCTGGATGTTCAGCAGCGTGTGGATTAGGTCCATTTAATGATGATTTGACATGAAAATCTTACGTATTGCTACTTTAAGCATAAAAAATGATGGATAGATCCTGGTGTAATTAAAGTATTTGACCTCGTGATGGCGCAGTCACTGGAGCCCTGCACTCGAGTCCGAGAAGAACAAATCTGACTGGTACCCGGAAGTGCTGCACAAACTGGTCTGCCCCGTGGATCTATAATAATAACGCCATGGATCTATTATAATATCGAGTCTACCATCCAAGCTTTTATTTACATAACTGTTAAGCTTAAATAGGCAATTTTAACATCGCGTAACACAGTATTGACGCCTCCAGGCCTGCGCAGTAACCATGGCAACTCTGCACGGGGTATGAGACCAACATGAGATTGTTATTAGCATTAGCATCGTTAGCAACAGCCCCTTACGTACAGGGCGTAAACAACGTCAGACTGCACTTTACGCCCTGCATTTAATTTGCCCCCCTCTATTCTTGCTGTGTGTCAGAACTTCAAACCTTTGATACATTTCCTGTTACTTTATAATCATGAAAGACAAAAAGACAATACACTGCCTTTATGATGCCAAAATGACGATTACCTACATGAAAATCCTCAATATCAAAATAAGGTTTACAGAGACCTTCTGAGGTTCAGCAAGAAAAACAAGATTTTGCCTAGTTACCTGAGTGATATTCATTCTCTGATAATCTGCTTGAAAACATCAAACGTACATGGTATTGCCCTTGTATTTTTAATTAAGAATACATTCATTTAAATGTTTTTTTTTCCAACAAACCATACACCATTTGGAAGTAATATTAAAATAAATATAATAAAATAAACCAGTGATGTGTATTTTACAGACTTCCACATCTTGGTTCTGCAGCAGACACAGACCCCCAGGGGATCACTCCTTCGTGTGATTTGTATTTCAGTAAGTTAATAAGTATATATATAAGTATAAGTATTAGTGTTTATACAGCGTAATATACAGGCCAAAGTTACCTAAAGCGTTTTACGAGTGAGTTACGACTGTTTCACTGCTTTCCTGAATTTACTTTGTGTTATTCAATGTCTTGCAGGTGTCCACGTCACCTCTGCGAGTTCTGGTGTGAAGCAGGAAATGCCAGAGAGTCCACAGATGAAAGAGGAGCCAGAGGAACATGGCATCAAACAGGAGGAAGATGAGCTGCAAATGTGAGTCTCTCCCACTTTTGTACACTAGGTGGCAGAGTTTCCAGATGCCCTGAACATTTTCATCTGTTACCCGTCAGCTAAAACAGACTCTGCCAAAAGCATCAATACATTTATTATGACTTTCCTCCCAGTTTGTTCCACACAAAAGTACAAGTAAGTAACGTTTATTCATATAGCACCTTTCACAGACCAGGATCACAAAGCGCATGCGAGAAAGCTGCCCAAACAAATAAGTCTTAAGTTGCAACATAACATTGTCCACTGACTCTTAACATGCGCAGAGACTGGGGAAGCTCATTCCAAAGATGAGGAGCAACAGACTGGAAGGATCTGTCTCCTCAGGCTTTAAAACAAGTGCGAGGGACCATCCACAGGTTCTGAGAGGAGGACCTCAGGCTCCTGTTAGGCATAAGGCTGGATCAGGCACTTGATGTATTCAGGCGCCTGACCACGAAGAGCCCTGAAAGTCAAGTCTGAATATTGTATTTCTTTTGAATTAACAATGCAATACCACTTCAGAATCGTTTTATATTAAATATCAAATTAAATCAGACAAATGCCTTTCTGCCGATTTAAGTGATCAAAATAGATTCACGACTGTCTGTATAATATGAGTTATCGGAAAATTGTAACTCAAAAACATGCCCTACATCCTGACATTCCGACAATTAAATCACAAACAAAAAGACATCCCCAGGACAACAACGAAATACTTCAAATCTGTAAATCTCTAACAAGACAGAACTCTATTATTGGCCCCACATGTTCCGCTCGATCTCAATGCGTTGAATGTAGGGGCCTCCATGTTTTTAGTCAACAGGGGACAGGCAGAGCCACAGTGTTTTAAGATAATTGTGTAAGTAAGTAGTAAGTAATCTTTATTTATATACCGCCTTTTCACTGCAGATCTGAGTCTCAAAGCGGTTTACAATTGTTATTATTTTTTATTTTGGGCATTTGTCTCTCACTCCACACAGAGATGGCAGGGGCCAGTACAGGAGGCGCATGCCAGAACTATTGTACATATTTTTAGTGGTAGGGGAAACCGGAGTACCCGGAGGAAACCTACGCAGACACGGGGAGTACACCACAAACAATTGTGGTGTACATTTATGGTTTAGTAGATGATAAGAGTAAATAGAATTGTTGTATCCTAATTGACCTAAAACAGGAGATTCAATTGTCTTGTCTAAAACATTGCATCCAGCTTATGTAAGATTATATATTCTAATGGCATTTTTAAACTGATTAAAACAATGAATTTTTAGCAGCTTTGTTGTGTCTGAATGCAGAGCTGTGAGTGTGAAAACAGAAGTCCAAGAAAGTCCTCAGACTAAAGAGGATTCAGAGGAACAGTGGATCAAACGGGAAGAGGAGCAACTGTGAGTTCAAGCACTTTCACAATCACAGCATAGTTACTCATGATTATTGTCAGATTCTAATCAGTGAGGAGTTTGTTTTTCTGATTTGGATTCAAATTCCTTTCAGTACTGTCCGTCGGACAAGTAACGTCTCTTGTGTCTTAACACAAAGACGTGAGCACAGAGCGAAAACACAGGGAGAGGAGATGAGCTCGGAGATGGAGGGAGACACTGAGCACTCCTCTGACGATGAGGACGAAGAAGAGGCACATCTTCATCATCCTCAGCCTCTGTCTTCAGGCACAGATGAAGGGGACGATCATCAACGAGTCCAAATCAGAGCTGCTCAAAACATGAGGACACTAAAAGGAGACAGACCTTACAGCTGTTCAGCCTGTAACAAAACATTTTTAAAAAGGAGGGCTTTAAAACAACACATGAGAACCCACACAGGAGACAAACCTTTCGTCTGTTCGGTCTGTGACAGAGCATTTTCCCAGAAGGGTAATCTAAGAGCTCACATGAGAACACACACAGGCGACAAACCTTACAGCTGTTCCCTCTGTAACAAAGCGTTTTCCCAAAGGGGTCATCTTAACGTACACATGAAAACACACACAGGGGACAAGCCTCACAGTTGTACAATATGTGAGAAATCGTTTCCGGTAAAAGGCGCACTTTCAAGACACATGAGTCAACACACAGGCGATAAACCGTTTGTCTGTCCGTTCTGCGACAAAGCATTTTCACGGAAAGGTAGACTCACTGAACACATGAGGACACACACTGGAGACGGGCCTTTCAGCTGTTCAGTCTGTGACAAAGCCTTTTCCCACAAGAGTATTCTCACGATACACATGCGGACACACACGGGGGAGAAGCCGTACCCTTGTACAATCTGCATAAAATTGTTTTCTGATAAACGTAATCTTTCAAGACACATGAACACACACAGGCGAAAAATGGGAGACTTTCAATTTGTAACAAAACATTTTCCAGAGTGAGGAGAACTGCACACCCGAGTATGCGACAGATGCAGAGAGCGACAGATTCTCAACTCTTCCAAATATTTAATGCATGAAACTGTTGGCTGACAGACCTTTCACTGGTGAGGAAAACAATACAAGTCAATAATAATCAGCAGACAGAAGCAAGTGGAATTTTATGACATATCTGTTGATCTTTTAGAATTTTTTTAAGACCGTTAAAAGACAATACTGGTGGTGCTGGCAAACAAAGACCTTTCAGAAGACAAGGCTTTGTTGGGGCCTCGTATGGTGAAATTTTTAGAGAAAACTTTCCATCAGCAAGGGCATTAAAGATGAAACGTGTCAGGGTGTTTTAGCATGAATCTGATCCCAAATCTACGTCGCCGGGGCAACAAAGGAGTGGCTCTGTAAGAAACATGTGAAGGTCCCGGAGTGGCCGATCAGCCTCCAGATCTCAACCCCATTGAAAATCTTTGGAGTTGAAAGTCTGTGTTGTCAAGAGACAGCCCCAAAACAACACTGCTTTACAAGAGATCTGCATGGAGGAATGGGCCAAAATACCAGCAACAGTGTGTGAAAAGAGTCTGCCAAAATGGACATTACACAATTGTCCATTACCACTATGTTTGTAATGTTTATGATATGAACGACCTCTCAGTGGGCTAAGGTTGACCATGTGGAGCGGATTCCTCTCTCAATGTGGATCTCCTCGAGGTTTCTCACTTTTCTCCCACTGGGTTTTTGAGTTTTTCCTTCCCGATGCAGAAAGGTCTGTTATTAGTGTCTAACAAGAAGGACTGTGGAGATGATTCAAGACACTCTTTACATTCTACAACATTCATGGACATTGGCCTCTCCCGATGGACCAATACCATGTGTTCTGTATTTTTGTGTGTCTTAACAATGGTTTTGTTAAGTCCTCTGAGATTACTACTGTTGTGATTAGGGCTATACATGAATGGATTGAATGAACTATCCCGACACACAACCAGTCACAGATAGGGACTACGCCGACTTGACTTGGTTTCATGAAAATACAGAAAGAACCTCATGCACTAATGTGTTATGGAGGTAAGTTATTGCATGGACGACTCCCACGGGCCCTCAGCTCCCTGTGCCCAACGACAAAAGAACTACTATTCAAACAAAACTCTCCTCCGGCCTGACACTCTGGACTGCTCTCCGTTCTTGTTCTTCCCGGCACAACGTTTTATACATTAAACTCGAAGCTGACTAAAGACTTGTTTGATTGCTATACACGGCAGCATATTCCATTTTCTGCCATTAATAATCAACTTTATATATGTGCTTTGAAAAAAATAAAAGATTGAAATTCACACGGTCATTAAAGAGGGCCTGATGAATTGACAGACGAATAAAGCCAAACTAAGTCAAACTCGTTTATCTCAAAATAACTTCTATAAGATTATTGATGAGTCTGGCTTTATGAATGTAACAGTGCAGGTTTTTAGACTACAACAAACAGATTTTCACAAAGCCTTCTGCACTGTGTGGTTCATTCAATTTGAAACATTAAATAACAAAAACTAAAGAAGCATTCGCAGAGCGCAGACCTCCGCCGTGAGGCACAACTCCGTTCCATTGCGCATGTCGTCTACATCGAATCATAACTTTTGGACTCACTCAGACAGATGGGAGAGAGAGAGAGCTGTGGGGGAAGGAGAGAGAGAGGGAGCTGTGGGGGAAGGAGAGAGAGAGAGGGAGAGAGAGGCGGGGGGAGGAAAGAGAGATGCGGGTGGAGGAAAGAGAGAGGGGGAGAGAGAGACGCAGGGAAAGGAAAAATACAGGGAGAGAGAGATAAGAGAGGGAGAGAGAGGCTGGGGAAGGAAAGAGAGAGAGAGAGAGGCTGGGGAAGGAAAGAGAGAGGGAGAGAGAGGCTGGGGAAGGAAAGAGAGAGAGAGAGAGGCTGGGGAAGGAAAGAGAGAGAGAGAGAGGCTGGGGAAGGAGAGAGAGAGAGAGAGAGAGGCTGGGGAAGGAGAGAGAGAGGCTGGGGAAGGAAAGAGAGAGAGAGAGAGGCTGGGGAAGGAAAGAGAGAGGGAGAGAGGCTGGGGAAGGAAAGAGAGAGGGAGAGAGAGGCTGGGGAAGGAAAGAGAGAGAGAGAGAGGCTGGGGAAGGAAGAGAGAGGGGAGAGAGAGGCTGGGGAAGGAAAGAGAGGGAGAGAGAGGCTGGGGAAGGAAAGAGAGGGAGAGAGGCTGGGGAAGGAAAAAGAGAGAGGGAGAGAGAGGCTGGGGAAGGAAAGAGAGAGGGAGAGAGAGGCTGGGGAAGGAAAGAGAGGGAGAGAGGCTGGGGAAGGAAAGAGAGAGGGAGAGAGAGGCTGGGGAAGGAAAGAGAGAGGGAGAGAGAGGCTGGGGAAGGAAAGAGAGAGAGAGAGAGGCTGGGGAAGGAAAGAGAGAGAGAGAGAGGCTGGGGAAGGAAAGAGAGGGAGAGAGAGGCTGGGGAAGGAAAGAGAGAGGGAGAGAGAGGCTGGGGAAGGAAAGAGAGAGGGAGAGAGAGGCTGGGGAAGAAAGAGAGGGAGAGAGAGGCTGGGGAAGGAAAGAGAGAGGGAGAGAGAGGCTGGGGAAGGAAAGAGAGGGGGAGAGAGGCTGGGGAAGGAAAGAGAGAGGGGAGAGAGGCTGGGGAAGGAAAGAGAGGGAGAGAGAGGCTGGGGAAGGAAAGAGAGAGGGGAGAGAGGCTGGGGAAGGAAAGAGAGGGAGAGAGAGGCTGGGGAAGGAAAGAGAGAGGGAGAGAGGCTGGGGAAGGAAAGAGAGAGGGAGAGAGGCTGGGGAAGGAAAGAGAGGGAGAGAGAGGCTGGGGAAGGAAAGAGAGGGAGAGAGAGGCTGGGGAAGGAAAGAGAGAGGGAGAGAGGCTGGGGAAGGAAAGAGAGGGAGAGAGAGGCTGGGGAAGGAAAGAGGGAGAGAGAGGCTGGGGAAGGAAAGAGAGAGGGAGAGAGAGGCTGGGGGAAGGAAAGACAGGGAGAGAGATGCTGGGAAGGAAAGAGAGAGGGAGAGAGAGGCTGGGGAAGGAAAGAGAGAGGGAGAGAGAGGCTGGGGAAGGAAAGAGAGGGAGAGAGAGGCTGGGGAAGGAAAGAGAGGGGAGAGAGAGGCTGGGGAAGGAAAGAGGGAGAGAGAGGCTGGGGAAGGAAAGAGAGAGGGAGAGAGAGGCTGGGGAAGGAAAGAGAGAGAGAGAGAGGCTGGGGAAGGAAAGAGAGAGAGAGAGAGGCTGGGGAAGGAAAGAGAGGGAGAGAGAGGCTGGGGAAGGAAAGAGAGAGGGAGAGAGAGGCTGGGGAAGGAAAGAGAGAGGGAGAGAGAGGCTGGGGAAGGAAAGAGAGGGAGAGAGAGGCTGGGGAAGGAAAGAGAGAGGGAGAGAGAGGCTGGGGAAGGAAAGAGAGGGGGAGAGAGGCTGGGGAAGGAAAGAGAGAGGGGAGAGAGGCTGGGGAAGGAAAGAGAGGGAGAGAGAGGCTGGGGAAGGAAAGAGAGAGGGGAGAGAGGCTGGGGAAGGAAAGAGAGGGAGAGAGAGGCTGGGGAAGGAAAGAGAGAGGGAGAGAGGCTGGGGAAGGAAAGAGAGAGGGAGAGAGGCTGGGGAAGGAAAGAGAGGGAGAGAGAGGCTGGGGAAGGAAAGAGAGGGAGAGAGAGGCTGGGGAAGGAAAGAGAGAGGGAGAGAGGCTGGGGAAGGAAAGAGAGGGAGAGAGAGGCTGGGGAAGGAAAGAGGGAGAGAGAGGCTGGGGAAGGAAAGAGAGAGGGAGAGAGAGGCTGGGGAAGGAAAGACAGGGAGAGAGATGCTGGGGAAGGAAAGAGAGAGGGAGAGAGAGGCTGGGGAAGGAAAGAGAGAGGGAGAGAGAGGCTGGGGAAGGAAAGAGAGGGAGAGAGAGGCTGGGGAAGGAAAGAGAGGGAGAGAGAGGCTGGGGAAGGAAAGAGAGAGGGAGAGAGAGGCTGGGGAAGGAAAGAGAGAGGGAGAGAGAGGCTGGGGAAGGAAAGAGAGGGAGAGAGAGGCTGGGGAAGGAAAGAGGGAGAGAGAGGCTGGGGAAGGAAAGAGAGAGGGAGAGAGAGGCTGGGGAAGGAAAGAGAGAGGGAGAGAGGCGGGGGAAGGAAAGAGAGAGGCTGGGGGAGGAAAGAGAGAGGGAGAGAGAGGCTGGGGAAGGAAAGAGAGAGGGGAGAGAGAGGCTGGGGAAGGAAAGAGAGAGGGAGAGAGATGCTGGGGAAGGAAAGAGAGAGCGAGAGAGAGGCTGGGGAAGGAAAGAGAGAGCGAGAGAGAGGCTGGGGAAGGAAATGGAGAGAGAGAAACAGGGAGAGGGAACTTAAAGAGCCATGGATTTTCCTCATCAAGGTAAATCAGATCCAAATGTTCTGTATTAAACTGTGATAATTGACTTTGGAGAGTTTAGCAGCGACACTGAACGGCAACAAAGGCCCAATGCTTTAGCCCCACTGTGTGTTCCTGTCTGGAGTTAGCATTAGCCTCCAAACATCGCAATTAATAAAACCCAGGGCTTTATTTTTACGATTTATGCTTAATCCTTTCGATTACAGGCGACCCGCCCACAGAGCCTCGTTTGACAACATGACTGTGTTATTACTCTGTGTTATTTAACGTGAAAAACTAGCGCCCGGAGCAGCACAGGCTACAAGCTAACGTTGTTTATTTTGTTTAATTTTTTTTATTATTAAACTTTATTGAACATTTACAAACATTAAACAAGCTAACGTTGTTTTATTTTATTTTTATTATTAAACTTTATTGAACATTTACAAACATTAAACAAGCTAACGTTGTTTTTTATAATTAAACTTTATTGAACATTTACAAACATTAAACAAGCTAACGTTGTTTTTTTTATCATTAAACTTTATTGAACATTTACAAACATTAAACAAGCTAACGTTGTTTTATTTTATTTTTATTATTAAACTTTATTGAACATTTACAAACATTAAACAAGCTAACCTTGTTATGTGGTCTGAGCATATTAACGGGTCTGAGTTGCACAGGAGCTAAACGGACTATTACACTTAAACAAATCGAAACAGAAAGTAAATACGTACATGGGCAGGTTTACAAATGCGAGCTACTATCAGTAAAATGTAATATATGACAAGAGAATGATGGAATCGAATGCATTTCTATAAACACACATTTTAATATTACGGCTCATGTGTTTGCTTTGTGTTTTTGTCATAAGGATTGCAAAGGTGCATTCTGAAAGATTTCAATGTTAAATTACACGTTCATGATAAGGTCACACATACACACACATTTGGCCTTGTTTTCATCAGACCTTTAATGTGGATTTACACGGAATTAAAAATACAGTTAACATTTAAAGATGGAGAATCAACTTTCATGTTAAGGTTTATATGTAAATTATTATTAAACATCAGTGCAATGCTTTTTTTGATCATTAATTTATCATTTGGGCAGTTTTGGTTGCCCATATAAGAGGAAAGATTAAATTTCTCCTCAATCAGAATGATGATTCATTTTATGCTCTCTAGTTTCTCACTGTGTGGATTGTAATATACCGATACCCTTACAAACTCTATCAAAATATAATACTTTTTTTTTGGACCAGCTCTAAAATATAAACTTCAGTATTGTCTGTATGTCTTGTGCAGGTGTCCACATCACCTCTGCGAGTTCTGGTGTGAAGCTGGAAATGCCCGAGAGTCCACAGATGAAAGAGGAGCCAGAGGAACATGGCATCAAACAGGAGGAAGATGAGCAGCAAATGTGAGTCTCTCCCACTTTCATTTAATTATTAGAAAACCTTATCAATCAATCATTTATTCGTATAGCACAATTTGTGTACAAGGCAATTCAAAGTGCTTCACAGAATCAAAATGCATTGAAAAGTCAAAAAAAAAAAAACATTATTTAATGCTAAAACTGCATAGAAGTATGGGGTTTGAAACTCATTAAAAAGTGGGTTTAAAAAGGGAGATAAAAGTAATAAGAAGTACAAAATAGAATCAGTTGTATGCACAGCTAAAAAGATTTGTTTTCAGCCTAGTTTTGAGCATGGTCCGGGTAGAGGCCTTTCTCACTACCCTAGGAGGACCGTTACATACCCGAGCAGCATGAATCTGAAATACTGCCTCCCCATGTTTCGTCCTGACTCTGGACACCAGCAGGAGGCCATTCCCAACGGGTTCATATGGCACTAACATGTCTCAGATGTACCCCGGTGCAAGGCCATGGACAGACTTGTTCTAGTCAGGACTCGAGCTGCTGCATTTTGAATGTACTGCAGCTGTTTTTGTCCTTAAAGAGAGACTTGTGAGAAGCCATTACAGTAGTCTAGCCTACTGGAGTCAAATATAAGGATCTCTAAGTTTGCTTTAGACATAGCTACATTTGTACATCAAAGCAGTTGATGTACATATCTGCATTTGAAGGATTAAACCCCTTGATAGGCACTACTGTTTACCAACTTTTTTCACCCTGAGAAAGGATTGTTTGTTGTGACGCAAATTAAAAATGGTTGTAACTGAGATGACGTTTTGAAAATAACCAAGCCAGGCACAGGCCTGGGGCAGATTACTTCCAGCTTGTGCGTCTAGCTGGATATATGCATGTGTTTATAGAGTAAATAGTAAAGAATTAGATGATTTTATGGAAACATCTGATCCTAACCTTTAACCTGGTACAAATAATCTCTTCCTTTTATTGTGCACTGCAACAACAAAAATTAAATAAATGTTTGCCTGTTTTATCTGACTTCAGAGCTGTGGGTGTGAAGGTAGAAGAATCCTGTCTGCTCCAGGAAATCCCAGAAAGTCCTCAGACTAAAGAGGAGCCAGAGGAACAGAGGATCAAACAGGAGGAGCAGCTGTGAGTTCAAGCACTTTCACATCTACAGCGTATTAACTCATGATTTTTATTAGATTTAAATCAGTGAGGAGTGTTTCTGTGTTTTATATTTCCCTTCAGTCCTGTCTGTGTGAAGACAGAAGAGTCATCACTGCTTCAACAAAGACAAAGTGAGCTCAGAGAGGAAACACAGGGAGAGTACATGAGCTCAGAGACGGAGGGAGACACGGAGCACTCCTCTGACTATGAGGATGAAGAAGAGGCACATCTTCATCACCCTCTGTCTTCAGGCACAGATGAAGGAGATGATGATCGCCAAGTTCTGATCAGGGCCGTAGACACAGCTGCTTACGCAGGAGACAAACCTTACAGCTGCTCAGTTTGTAACAAAACATTTTCAAAGAAGACTTATTTAACACGACACATGAGAACACACTCGGACAAACACTTTAGCTGTCCAATCTGTTCCAAAGTATTTTCCCACAGGGAACATTTGACTGTTCACAAGAGGACACACACAGGAGCCAAACCTTTCAGCTGTTCAGTATGTAACAAAGCATTTTGCCGTCGGGGTCATCGGGACGTACACATGAGGACACACACAGGAGACAAGCCCTACAGTTGTCCAACTTGTGAAAAGTCGTTTTCTGATAAGGGCTCTCTTGCAAGGCACACGACAAAACACACGGGTGAGAAACCGTTTGTCTGTTTGATCTGTGACAAAGCGTTTTCCTGTCGGGGTCAGCTTAACTTACACACGAGGACGCACACAGGAGACAATCTGCACAGCTGTTCATTCTGTAACAAAGAGTTTTCTCGTCGGTGTCATCTTAATGCACACATGAAGACACACACAGGGGAAAAGCCTTACAGTTGTGCACTTTGTGAAAAATCTTTTTCTGATAAAGGAACACATACCAGACACATGAGAACACACACTGGAGAAAGACCCTTCAGCTGTTCAGTCTGTAACAAGGCTTTTTCCCTAAAGGGTAATCTTAACTCACACATGAGAACACACACAGGGGAGAAGCCTTACAGTTGTACCATTTGTGAAAAATCATTTTCTGATAAGAGCACTCTAGCGAAACACATGAGCATACACACAGGTGATAAACCCTTCAGCTGTTCGGTCTGTGACAAAGCCTTTTCCCATCGGGGTTCTCTGACCGAACACATGAGGACGCACACAGGAGACAAACCCTTCAGCTGTTCGTTCTGTAGCAAAGCATTTTCACAAAGTTGTAATCTTGATGTACACATGAGGACACACACAGGGGAAAAACCGTTAAGGTGTTCGCTCTGTAACAAATCCTTTTCTCATGGAGGTTGCCTAAAAGTTCACATGAAGACACACACAGGAGACAAACCCTACAGCTGTTTAATCTGCGAAAAACGGTTTTCTGACAAGAGCAATCTTAAACAGCACATTAAATTACATACATCTGTCCCAAAGGATTTCAACAAAAACGTGCTCTTGACAAACACACGATACACTCAGAGAAACCTTACAGCTGATCAGTCTGACTCGGTTTGACTCAAATGGTTAAATTACAGCCGACACTCCCGTCCACCACATTGCAGTCATTTCTATACAACTCACAGAGCAGTAGTATTTTTGTTAGTATTTATGTACAAATTTTTGTGTGCATTTTTTTTTATCATTTCAATGCTTAAATTGCTATACTAACTCAAGTCAAACCAAACAATCCTGGCATCTTGTATTAGATGTTAAAAACAGCGTTGCCATTTACTGAGATTAAAAAGTTAGGTAACACTTTATTTTAGCACCCACTAACTAACAGCTAATTAAGTGCTAATTAGTGTATTAATGTATGGTTAATTAGCTCTTTATTGGTATTTATTAATCACTTATTAGTCCTTATTCTACATGGCCTTATTCAACATCTAACTCACTATTAACTGGCGCTTTCCCATTTATTAGTTCTTTATTACTCATTAGCCAGCAATTACATAGTTGTTATAGTGTGAATATGCTCTGGGATTATGGGTCTTATTAAGTGTTAATAATACACAAACTGTTGTTAGCCATTATTACCCTTGATGAACATGGACAGATCTTTAGAAATAAAACACAAATAACATCTCATTTTTTCTCTGTCTCTCTCTCTCTCTCTGTGTCTCTCTCTCTCTCTCTCGTCACTCACTGTTGGTCTTGAGGGTCCCGGGCTCGCTGCTCCTGGTGCCCGCCTGGTTGATGGCCTTCACCACAAAGATGTACTTGGTGCCGCTCTGCAGACCGTGGACCGTGTAGTGGTTCTGTTTGATGTTGGGGACAATCATCCAGCTGTCCAGAGAGTTACACAGACCTGAGGAGGAAGTGGACACACGGCTTTAATATGGATTTGACTAACTTGTATTTTTATTGGACTGTATTTGAATGATCTTAGGGTTTGTTCACGAGTGAGGGAAGGATGGAGGTGAGATTGAGGCGGATCGGTGCAGTAAAGAGGGAGCAGCGTCTGCAGTCAGAGCTGTATCAGACCGTTGTGGTAAAGAGGGAGCAGCGTCTGCAGTCAGAGCTGTATCGGACCGTTGTGGTAAAGAGGGAGCTGAGCCGAAAGGCAAAGCTCTCGATTTACCGGTCAATCTTCGTTCCCTCCCTCACCTATGGTCATGAGCTTTGGGTAATGACCGAAAGAACAAGATCGCGGATACAAGCGGTCGAAATGAGCTTCCTCCGCAGAGTGGCTGGGCGCTCCCTTAGAGATAGGGTGAGGAGCTCAGTCACACGGGAGGAGCTCGGAGTAGAGCCGCTGCTTTTCCACATTATGAGGAACCAGTTGAGTTGGCTCGGCCATCCGCACGTCCGGGCACGTCCCACTGGGAGGAGGCCCCGGGGAAGACCCAGGACACGCTGGTGGGACTCTCTCTCTGGGAACACCTAGGGGCCCCCCCGGACGAGCTGGAGGAAGTGTGTGAGGAGAGGGAAGCCGCAACAGTTGACACAGAAGAAAATGGATGGATTTAGTCATTTGCACTTTTATCGAACTGTTCTTTATTATTCAGTCTGTCCTAATGAAGACCTAAATGGTTTTTTACGGTAATAAAATGCGTCATGTCCCAAGTAAATAAATGATTTTTACATTAAAGTCAGTTCTACCTCTGCCCTTCTCTTTATCCCCTTCAGCATTAAGCTTTTTGCATTTACGATCCTGATGATCCTGGTGAGCACCTGTTCAGCAAACCCCACAGCAGCTCACTCTCAACTGGGTTTATGGATTTTACTAACACTATTTTTCTTCAGCACTCTCACTCTCACAGGGCCATTTCCCCAAACTTTGCCGAAGTATTTTCAGTCTGTGAGGAGTGTATTAGCAACAGGAGGATTAGAAGAGGACCAGGAGGAGCGGGAGAGTACCAGGAGGAGCAGGCGAGGACCAGGAGGAGCAGGCGAGGACCAGGAGGAGCAGGCGAGGACCAGGAGGAGCAGGCGAGGACCAGGAGGAGCAGGCGAGGAGGAGTGAAACGACACAAGAGGAAACCCTTCACGCGCAGTTTCCTCCGAACCTGAGCTCTCTCCCAGCTCTGCGTCTGTCTGCTCTCTCTTTGTATATTTCTGCGGCCCATTTCCCAAAGCCAAATATGGTCCACTGACTTCCCCACTTCCTGAACGGACCACCCTCAAACGTATACGGCGCGTTTCACAGCCTCCCGGTGAAGCCTATAAAAAGGACGTTTGCAAAATGATGTGTTACTAAAAAAGGACACGGGTGGATTGTTATTATGGGCTATTATGGAAAGGTTGTTAAAGAAACGGTGTGGAAGCATGGCTGGGTTCAGAGCAACAACAAAGGCAAGGCAAATATGTCTATCGCTGGTATTTGAATTGACATGTTGAAGAGATTTTTTTATTCATTTCATGACTTGAAAACGTTAAAAATGTACAAAAATATCCAGTTTACAGGAGTGGTTCTGGGCTCTCTCTTGCTCGGAGGGAGGTCTACCGTATGTATTTAACCTGGATTATACTGTACAGACACAGACAAAGTCAAACTAAACTAAAGCCACAAAGTAATGAAGTCAAAAATTAAAAATGACACATAATTGATAATAGCTCTTTCAACTTATGTGTGTATAAAATGCAGAAAAACATATAAAAAAAGGACTAAATAGAAGCTAGGGATGCACCGATACCACTTTTATCAAAACCGATACGAGAACCGTAATCTGAGTACTTTCCGATACGAGTACTGCCCGTAGACTGTAAACATTACTGCATTGTGTTCTGGGAATTCATAAAAAACGAACTGAAATTTCAAATGTTTTATTTCTCATTTCCTCAATAATAAAATGCTTCAACAATTAAACATGTTAGCGTTTCTTTTAACAGTCAACAATAAGAGCCACTGCTGTGTTGTAGAGTTGGTCGTCTCTGTGCTCCGGTGCTAGCAAAGGCGCTAGCAAAGGTGCTATACTCTGCGTGCTGTTGAGTTTTCAGATGTTTGATCAAGTTTCTGGTGTTATACGTGTTTGTTTTGGACCCTCCTCGTGACAGTTTTACACAACGTACAGTCCTTTTCACTACGGCTGCACGATATATCAAAAAAATATCGTTATCGTGATATCGGTGCGTGCAATATCCATGTCGAAAAGATGCGCTATAATTGTTTTACCCATTATTAAAGCCAATCAGACAGACACATCAACATTCAACAAGAACAACAAACACACAAAAAGTATATAAATATCTGCATTTGAATGTCATTAATGTTGTGCATATTTCTAGTTATTTGTCTCTTGCGTTTCAAAGCAGATTGCGATTTTATGTGAAAGACAAAAATATCGTTATCGAAACACTAAACACTATCGAATATCGCGCTAATTTCCAATATCCTGCAGCCCAAGTTGTTACTCTCGTTTACTTTAAAACACTGCTACACAGCCGACATCCTTTCCGCTTGACGCAAAGCTAACGGCTAAGCTAAGCTAGCAGCAAGCACTTTCTCAGTGTTGTGACGCTAATATAAATAAAAAATGTGGGTATGGGTTGTCCACATTGGTTTCTATGGTATGAGTACAAATACAAGCCCATAGTCTTGACCCGATAGAAGCCATTATATAAAATCTGCTTGAAGAACTTTGGAATCTGCCTTTTATATTTCATGCAGCTGCCTTCTCTAATCTATATAACATTTCTCTTCAAATAACCCCGGGGCCAGGTCTGCAGAGCATGAAGCCAACAGCAACACTTCTGACACCGGCGAAAGTGCTAAAACGCCGGGCCAAGAACTAACGCATTGTAAAGCGCACAAGACGCTCGGGTCGTGTTAAAAAAAAAAAAAAAAAAAAAAAAAAACGGCTCGAAATGAAAGAAAAATAAAGGCCACGGCGGCTGAATGTTTAATGCTTCAGGTGCTAAAATGTGAAAGTAAATACGCAAACAGTGGTGACCTGTAAAGATGGAGGTGGATACAGAGACGGCGGCGGTTTGACATCGTGCACTGCAAAAAAAGTGATAGAAAATAAGTAAAAAATGGCTTAAAATTAGCAAACTGTATCTTAATTTGGAGATTGGAGATAGTTCTTGTGCGATATCGACGGTTTGTGACTCGGAAATCCTCTTCTATTTTGCGTATGGTTCGATTCAGATTAGTTTGTATGGTCAGGGAGTGTTGGCCGTGTGTGTGTGTGTGTGTGCGTCCGTGTGTGTGCGTCCGTGGGTCTGGAATAGATTACACATTTTGCTTCTTTCAACCCCTTTTCACACACTTTTGTTTTCTTGTTTCTTGTGAAAATTATGTGTGCAGATTTTTTAAATACATATTTCATTCATTCATTCATTTGCAGTAAAACCACATTGGAATACACTGCAAAATATGAGGTAAAAACTGCTTGAATAAAGTGTTTTTTTAATAATTTGAGTATTCTGACTGTGTTCAAACAAGATGGGACAAAGATATTTAGTCTCATTTGGTTTTATTTGAAGGACTGTAGCATTATCTCCTCATTCCAAGGGAGACATTTCTGTATCTTTTTAAAACATTGGCCAATCTTCTTTCAAAATGTGCTCAAACGACGACACATTTTGCCAAATTTGAGCAGTTTCGGACTTATCTCTCATCCCTTTCTTCCGTGTGGAGACTTCAGAAGGTCTGGATAAAAGGTGGGATGATGGAAAGGGCGCAGGGGAGGTGTTTGTGGAACGGCGCTGACCCCGTTTCCCTCTGTTAGTTGTTGCTCAGCGGGCTGTGGCTGATGCCTCGGCCCTGCGAGCGTGTAGCAGACAGATCCGAACACAACAACACGTCTGAGGATGTGTCACGCCGTGTTCCAAACCTCTCAAGAGCGACTTTGATTTAAGGCCGTTTTTGGAGTCGGAGATTTAAGACAGTTAAACGATATCAACGCTTTGAGACTCCAAAATCCTCTTCTCATTTTAGTTTCCATTTGCAGTAAAACCACATTGGCATACACTGCAAAATGTGATAAAATATGAGGTGATAATTGCTTGAATCAAGTATTTTTTTAAATAATAATCAGAGCAAATTCTGACTGTTAAAACAAAATTCTCCAAGTAATTATTTTTCAGTCAAAATGTGCTAAAATTTAGATACATATTTCCAAATTTGAGCAATTTTTGACTTATTTTTCATCACTTTTTGCAGTGTACATTGGATAAAGTCCCCAGTGTGCACCGGACAAAAACACACAGAACAAGGTAAAAAAATAAAAAAAGGTGGAGGAAACAATTGACACCTGTTAGGTCGGTGAGACTCAGGAAAGAGATCGATAAAAACAGATTGAATCAAGCTGTGAATGGAGTCACTTTGCAGAAGAAGTGAAGTCTTCATAAGGACTTCAGCTGTAGTCTGTTCGTTGCTATTCACCCACTGTCCCATGGTCTCTCTCAATCTCCATCCCCTTTCTTTCTTCTCTCTGCAATCTCTTATTCCTTACATCTCTCTCTCCCTTTCTTTCTGTATCTTTCCCCCACTCTCTCTTTCCCAATCTCTTTCTATATATCTACCTTCCTTTCCCCATTCTCTCTCTTTCTCGTTCCCCATAGGGCTGGAAAGTCTCGTCCCAGAAGCACTTCCGGTTCATTGCTCGGATACAAACAAACCGTCAGCTGTTCGAAGAGGCGGTTTAAGTGAATGGTGCAAAATGCTCTGCTTTGTTTTTGGCTGTTATCATCAAAGTTTACATGAAGCTCATTTTTTAGGTTTCCCAAAGACCAACTGAAGCTGTGTAAAAAGCCATGCAGTTGTGATAAAACATTTTGTCTGATTTTACAGATGGTTAACTTGAATATGTATTCAAGCTAACTTGTAGCTAATGCTAACCTGTAGTGCGCTGCCGAGCCTTTCATTGTGGCTTGTATTTTAAGAAAAGATTAACTTTATTGTTGTCACACAGGATAAATGTATTTATTTATTTGAGAGATAAAGGAGGAACATATTAAATAACATTTAACAAATGTTCAAATATAACAGAAAACGGACAATCATAATATTAGTATTAAATGAATAGGTAACCCAACTACATCATTTTTGACTGAACAGCAAAAAGAAAAAAGGCCCAATGTGAAGCTGCAGTGAGTGTGAAGTGGAGATGGAGCTGATGAACGGATATAAAACTGATCATTCATAAACATTGGCTCATAACCAACGCAGCAAAGCTAGCTGTAAGGGACATCAATGTATTTGCATGGGAATAGTGTTTCTATATTGTCTTTCTGATGCATAATAGTGGATTAAAAAAGTTTGAACACGGCCCTGCACCTTTCTCATCTCCCCGTCATATAAACTTCAGCACATGGTCAGTTCACAGCTAATTCCGACCGCTCACTCAGTTTTTCTGTCCCAGAGACGAAATGTGTCCAAAATAACACAGGAAAGTCCATTAAGGAGGAAGAAGTCGGCGATCTCTGCACCATACAAGTGGCACGTGTGGTTTGTTTGTATCCGCGGGAGGAAATCTCGCAAAATCTCGCACTTCCACTTTCCAGCCCTATTCTCTGTCTCTCTCCCTTTCTCTATCTCCCTCTTTCCCCATTCTCTCTCCCCATACTCGCTTTCTCTCTCTATCTCTCTCAAATTCTTTCTCTCTATTTATCTATCTCTCTCTCTCCCATTCTCTCTCTATTTACGGTATCTATCATAGGGGCTGGTGCTTTGTGTGCTGGGTGCAGCTCTGACCCAGAAATGGATTAAGGGGAAGAAAATGCATGGATTGATGGATATCTGTCTATTCCCTCTCTCTCTCTCTCTACTCACTTGCGATGTTGGCCTGTCCCGTGAAGATGGCGTACTGCAGCTCGTACGACACCACGGTGAACTCATCGTCGGAGGTCCAGTGAACCGTGATGGTGTCATAGGACGCCGTGCACAGCTCCTCCCTGATGCTCGGAGCCGTGGGAGCTGCGGAAAAAAAGAGAGTCCGGACCAATCAGCCAAGTAAGTAGTAAGCTTTATTTATATACCGCCTTTTCACTGCACATCGGAGTCTCAAAGCGGTTTACAATTGTTTTATTTTTTTTATTTTTTTGGGATTGGGGGTCGCCAGTACAGGAGGCACATGCCAGACCTATTGTACATATTTTTAGTGGTAGGGGAAACCGGAGTACCCGGAGGAAACCTACGCAGACACGGGGAGAACATGCAAACTCCACTCAGAAAGGCCCTGGTCCGACCGGGATTCGAACCCAGGACCTTCTTGCTGACAACAACAACACACACACACTCTCTAGAGAAAACACACTGGCGCCGGTTGACCTTAGAGATGGAGGTTTTTTCCAAGACACGGCTTGATTAGACACAAAATGGCGGATGTGCTTTCCGGGTGAACGGTAGATTGGGAATCGCAAACACGGACAATGAGGGGTCATGTGATATTCATGGAGAGATTGCTAAATGAGCTTTCAAAGGCTATATTTAAACTGCTCCGTCACGGGCAGATGGTGACACGGCACATCTCGCCGTTCTGAATGGTAACAGGGCAAAAATCAGACACGAGTGTTTTGCTGAGGGTCAAATATTAGCTTTTATAACCACGATACAATCCATAAAACAAGTTCCTCACTCTCTAAACCGTTTTGTTCTATCACTAGTTTCCACATGTGTCTATCTTTGTCTTTAGATCAGCTGTTTCAGACCAAAACCATTCATAAAAGAGCCATACGAGTAGCTGACGGGAAAAATTATGTTGGGAAAGTCCAGTAACTACATTCATATAAGCCAGGGGTGTCAAGGGCCAAATGTATACAATTTCCTGAGACGATAGGGGCCACTAAAAATAGTCTCGCGGGCCGGATTTGGCCCTCGAGCCTGAGTTTAGACATGCTTGACATAAACCGGTACAAAGTAAAGATTACATGTATTATAATGAGAAGAAGACGGTTGGTTGTGGTTTGAGTTTTTCCGCGAAATTTGACTTTTATAAGTGACGAACAACATGGTTTAGTTGTGCAGAAAAAGAGGCTTACCGTACGTCCATAATTATCAAAATATAATTAATATTTTAAGAGAAAAGTCTATTTTCACTGAAGTATTTTAGGCTTAAAGAGGCTCCTTACAAAAGTGAACTTCCCTTCCCCACTGCTGAAAATGACAACATGAGGAAGCCAATTAATCTCATTTGTGGCTTCATTTTCTCATTCTAAGATTACACAACCCTTCTCCCACCGATGTATGCTGCCGTTGTGTCCCTGGGCAAGACACTGAACCCTGCTTTGCCTGAATCCCCTCCTGAAAGACCCAGGCAGAGAAACCCTCATCCTGTGGACCCAGTGCTTTAAGGCTTGGGTGACAGCCAGACCCAGAAATGAATCCTATTGGAGAAATTTGCTTTAAGACAGTCAAAATATGCTCAAATTAAAAAACATATTGCCAAATTTGAGCATCTTTTACCTTCTCTTCCCTCACCTCTTTGCAGTGAATAATAAAACCGTGTGTTTGCCTCTTAGAATCTGTAGCAGTTCATGTAATGTCTTTTTTTTTATATCCTGACTCCCCATAAAGGCATGGTTGGTAGCTTTGAAAAGGCTGTCTCGCCCGATCCCATTATGTTGACTGAGTCTCTGTGCGCCGCCTGCTGCCGTCATGAGAGCCCGAATCTTGTGGAACAATTCAGAGTGATTCACTTAGCGGAGAGCCCCTCCAGCCAAGCCCTCGTGCATCAAGCCGCCTGAAAACAAGCCCGCCATTTTCACATCACATCTACATCCACTACCCGCACCGCGAGGATTTGTTTTGGTCTCCAAGCACGGATTTTCACTGCACATTGTGATGACATCTGGCAAACAAGGACAGGGAAATGAAACGGGGAGAAAGATATATATATATATATAATTGTGGCGGGATTTCTTACATGGAATTTGCATTACAATAACTGGGGCACTTAACCTGATTTTTGCATAAATGTTACATGGTGTTTTTCCCGACAGAGAGAGTTGTGGAACAGAAAAGTATTGTGAACAATTTTGACCACATTATGCCATCTTCTTCTGATGAGAGAACTTTTGCAGACTGAGAATCAGAATCAGAATTATTGTTGATGCCGTGTAAAGTAACTGGAATTAGGAATTTTGCTTTGGCTTCAGGTGCAAACAACTTTAAAAGTACAAATAAGCTAAGGCATGTATATATGCTTTTGTGATTAAATTACCACCATATACAAGTGCATTAAGTACACACAATCGACATTTAGCGTTAAAGATATATATATATACCCGATTATTTTTCTATTGAGTTCATAAAAATGCTTATTACTACACACAAGTTGTATTATAATCCGTAATTTAATGTAAAACTTGAGCTCATCGAGGCTGTAAAAAGTACTGAGTAGAGACTTAGCGTGACGCCCGCTCTCCTCCAATCACAGAACAAGGCTGCGTCCTCTAGCCTCTACAGCGCTGCTAAACACAGCAGCATGTTAGCATGAGTGGCTACAACTCCTCTGGTTGTAACTGCAGACACAGCAAAACAGAACAAACAGTGAGGAAGAGAAGAGGGAACTAAAGCGAAAAAATGATCGGAGAAGAAATCAAGCCCTGAACAGAGCTAGCTTACATCGTATCCTCTGGAGAGACTTGTCCATGGGAGAGACCTGCAGGACCGCCTCGGACTATCTACGCTCGGACTATCTACGCTCGGACTATCTACGCTCGGACTATCTACGCTCGGACTATCTACGCTCGGACTATCTACGCTCGGACTATCTACGCTCGGACTATCTACGCTCGGACTATCTACACTCGGACTATCTACGCTCGGACTATCTACACTCGGACTACATACGGACGTGAAACTAGCGGTAATCTTTCAGTTATATATTGTGTTATCAGTGCGTTGCTTTTGTACCATTTCATCAGTGATTGTTGTACAGCTTAAGTTGCGCTAATGTTAGCATCAGATCGCAAATAAAACTAGATGGCTCCGTGGGATGTGAGCGTAGGGGAAATGAGAAGCCTCTGAGCGAGTTGGGGGGCGGGGCTAAACATTCAAACCTTGCAGAAACGGGTATAGCTCCTTTAAGAATGAGCCTTGTGAGACACTATTTGACCCCTTGGGAAGAGAGCTGGTCGTTTCTTTCGTTTTTCACTTTTCTGAACAGTTTAAAATGTCTCTTGAAATTGTGAAATAGAAGGTTGTACCAGTGAGATAATCCAGACTCTCCAGCAGTTTCTTCTCTCTGGTAAAGTCCAAGGCGAAGTTGTCAAACGTGTCTGTTAGCGATATCTCTGGAATCAGGACTTGGGTGGATGCGGTCGCCATAGAAACCCTGCAGAAAAGTACATTGAAATAACTTGAAATTTGTTTTGATTGTTTCTTTGAATCCAGCCTGGACTATGTGATTGTTGTTGTTTTTACCTTTCGTTGATGGTTTTGGCCGTCTGCAGGAAGCGAGCGGGGTCCGTCTCCTTCAGCGTCTGGTCGGCCTGCGTGATCAGGGCGCTGGACCGCTCTATGCACTGCTGACAGTTGGTGATCTGCTGGGCCAGTTTGCGCAGCCTCTGAGTCTAAAACAAGGAATAAAAACATGTTACAGTTGTTTCTTTGCTGATGCAGGAGGATCTAAGTCCGGGGTGTCAAACTCATTTTTGGTCAAGGGCCAAATTTAAAAACATAGAGCTGGTTGGGGCTATAAGTATAAAAGTTGTGTTACATATTTTTAGATGAACTGTATTTGACATGACTTTGAACATTATTGGAACAGATACAAAAATGTGGTTGTTTTCCTGAGACGATAGGGGCCACTAAAAATGGTCTCGCTGGCCGGATTTGGCCCTCGAGCCTGAGTTTGACATGCCTGGTCTAAGGACAGAGGTGATGGTCCAGTACTCTCCACATTCGACCACATTTATCAACATGGGTCTCTAGCTCTTATGGACCAATGTCTCTGTCTATGTGTTTATTATCATTGCATTTCCTGTTTGATTCTCTAATCTGTGTTGGTGAATCGACAACTTCAATACAACAATACAACTTGGGAAATCCTTATCACTGCAGGTAATGGCAGCGTCTCAATAACAGTAGCTCTTCGGGTATGGCTGATTTTGAGTGGTAAATATTGAATTAGAGGTTGGTTATGTATGTAAAATATATATATAAGAGCCAAAATGTAATTAAAAACAAGTGATATTTCTAGATTCTATTAGATTTGTTGTGGAATTACTTTGACATTTATAGCATGTTTCTAGCGGATTTTGACTTTAGTCTTTTGAGATAAATCCATTTCTTCTCAACATTGCCAGCCACTAAAGGTGAACAATACGATACAATACTATACAAAACAAGTCGATCTTTCTGTTACTTTCCCGATTCGTACTGAGCCCCTTCTTGGCTTGAATGTCTTCTCCACAAGACTGATGGCGTAGCGTTATGCTAGCTGGCAGCGCTAAAGGTCAACCCGTAGACTTGGCCGATGCGCAGAGGCGTGGGTTTTATTCATGTTTCGTAACGACTTTGAAGAGCAGAGGAAACACGGCGTCGCAAAAGGCCAATGAGCAAATAAAATGTTTGTGACAATCCAATATTCTGGATTGTGCCATGACGAGAGAAAGGAGTCCACACAAAACACACTGAACCACATTTATGGAAACTGGTCTCTGTCCCTAATGGACAAATGGCCAAAAATAACATTTATTACTCATTATTTATACATTTTTGCAGTGTTTTCTGATATAGGACTGAAAATGAATTGAACGGACAAAATCCAAAAAGGGACAATCCATAGCTTTCATACCCTTTCTAATGGTTCTTCCGATGAGCTTAGATTTTAGGAGACGGATTGAGGTCAGCAGCTGGATTTGGAAACTACATTTCTCGCCAAGAATCCAAAACCACTTTAATCTTTAGGTCAAATATCGCTCAAATCTGAATTACGTCAAAAAAATGCAGACTGAGGTCCAACACAATGGACGATACATCGATCAGACTGAGTTCACGAAACGGCACCAACTCCTTCATAGACTTCGGAATCTGCTTTGGCTGGACGGAATGTTCTGGTCAGAGTGGAACATTTGGAGGATCAGCTGAAGTGGACGGAGCAGAATTTCATCATTTCATCTCCTCCTCGGCCACAAGTATGTTCTGCCGATAGAAAAGCTCTGGTCTCTCTTGATATCACAACAAGTTATTATAGAAATATTAAATCTGTCTTTGGGAATATAGGTATATAATATTAGAGAGAGAGAGAATGGGGAGAGAGAGGGAGAGAGCGAGATGTAGGGAGAGAGAAAGAGAGTGAGAGACAGAGAGAGAGAGATTGGGGAGAAAGAGGGAGAGAGCGAGATGGAGGGAGAGAGAAAGAGAGAGAAAGAGAGTGAGAGAGAGAGAGAAAGAGTGAGAGAAAGAGAGAGAGAAAGAGTGGGGAAAGAGAAAGAGAGAGTGGGGAAAGAGAGAGAGAGTGGGGGGAGAGAGAGAGAGAGTGGGGGAGAGAGAGAGAGAGTGGGGGAGAGAGAGAGAGAGTGGGGAAAGAGAAAGAGAGAGTGGCGAAAGAGAAAGAGAGAGTGGGGAAAGAGAGAGAGAGTGGGGGGAGAGAGAGAGAGTGTGGGGGAGAGAGAGAGAGAGTGGGGAGAGAGAAAGAGAGAGTGGGGAAAGAGAGAGAGAGTGGGGAGAGAGAAAGATAATGGGGAAAGAGAGAGAGTGGGGAGAGAGAGAGAGAGTTGGAGAGAGAAAGAGAGTGGGGAAAGAGAAAGTGAGTGGGGAGAGAGAGAGAGTGGGGAGAGAGAGAGAGGGGAAAGAGAGAGAGAGTGGGGGGAGAGAGAGAGAGAGAGAGAGTGGGGGAGAGAGAGAGAGAGAGAGTGGGGAGAGAGAGAGAGAGTGGGGAGAGAGAAAGAGAATGGGGAAAGAGAGAGAGAGAGTGGGGGGAGAGAGAGAGAGTTGGGAGAGAGAAAGAGAGTGGGGAAAGAGAGAGAGTGAGTGGGGAGAGAGAGAGAGAGTGGGGAGAGAGAAAGAGAGAGTGGGGAAAGAGAGAGAGAGAGAGTGGGGAAAGAGAGAGAGAATAAAATAGAGAAAGAAAGAAAAATCATGGGGAGAGAGAATGAGGAGAAAGATAAATCATGGGGAGAAAGAGAGATAGAGATAGAGAGAAAGAGAACGAGAGACTTTATTGATTTACTGTAAGAATGATTCAAAGCTTTTCAAACTCTTCCAAACAAAATGTATTCTTCCCTATCCCTGGACAGGACCATAAAGCTGGCTATGGCTATGGCAGGACTCTCGCTGCACTCAACAAATATTCTGTTTTTGTTTTTTCGTAGACACCAAATGATCACTTTGAAAGGTTTTCCAATGTAACCCCCACATCCCCATAATCTCTCTCCATCTCTACACTCTCTTTCTCTGAGGAAATAACAAATGCCCTATGGCCGCCTTGTAATGTCTCGGGGAAAGCCGAGTCTTAGACAGAATGACGCTTCGCAAACTGCTCCCGCCGCCGAGGCTCGGGAAGAATCTCTCCCGGCCTGGGCTTCTCCGTCCGTCAAGCTCACCTTCCCTTCCTTGATCTTGCTGTTGATTATTTGCCTTCGCTGCTGAATGATGTCGATCAACAAGTCGCACTCCTCCAGCAGCTTGCCCTCCTGCCGCGAAGCATTCACCTAGAGCAGAAATAGACATAGAGACGGAGATGGGTGAGCAGAGATGGACGGGTGGAGGAGGGGGTATATGATCGCCGCTCTGGGACGGCGAGGAGGCATCCATCAGAGCGGCCGCGGAGACTGAAGGCGAAACACTCCACGACAGGCTGTCATTTGGCTTCTTTTTGTTTTGTTTTTTTTACGCCAAGCCACCGTGAGTGACAAGAGGAGTGAGTGGGAGCCAGCGGGTGCAATATCGAGCAAAGGGTGAGATGTGAAGATCTGTTTAGAGACAGGAGAGTTCGTAAACCTTCACTTCTTTGTCGATCTTTCCATATTTGTGCACGGGTGAGACAGGCGCTCATTGGTAGCGTAGTGTTAATAATGCATTGGTTTTATACAGCCCTTTCTTGGACTCGCAAAGACGATTCACCTGTCATTATTCTTTCGCTTCAAACACAGTAGTGATAAACTACTACTGAAGCCACAGCTGCCCTGGGGCACACTGACAGAAGCGAAGAAACCAGTATGTGCCATCACCAACCATTCACACACACACCAGACCCATTCTAATGTGGGGGAAGCATCTTGCCTAAGGACACAACCACAGTTTGATTGACACAACAACCATCCCACTGTGGCAGCTTCGTGTTCCCAAAGGTCTCACATCACAGAACTAACCAGGCCCTGCCCTGATTAGCTTCAGAGGTCTGACAGGATCTAGCTTCCACATGCAGGTATGACCACATAATGAATATGTCTCGACAGCGGAAGAAAGTTTTTGAGTTGAGAAATTCACAATTAAAAAAATAAATTGTCCGAACTTTAATACATTACCTTTTCTATTTCATTGTATTTGTTTGAGTTCGGTTGGAGACGGCGAAAACAAAAAAAAAACGTTGCCGTGTGTCTTGACAGCAGTTCAGAGATTAGCCCAAATTTGCTACGTGCTCAAATCACATAATACTTTTCTGCTCGAGGATTGTCTCCCTTAGAAGCTGTCGTCAGTAAAGTCAAAATCTGTGGTCCATCTGACGAGAACAGAACTAACTCAGGAACACTTTAAACTACAGGCCCCAGTGTTGTGAATGCACTAAAACAGTACACACGTTCGCCATCTGCTGGCCTTTTAGAGTACTGCACACAATTAATAGCAAAAGATAAGATAAAAAAAAAAAAATTCAAAGCTTTGGATTTGTTGAATTCAATATAATCTGAAAGTTTATGGAACGTTTATATTATGCTCTTCTATGACAGTTTTAAATGATGTGAATTTGATGTATGGCGCCCCCTGGTGATAGCAAGTATGTTATTACAAAATCAATTGGTTTGACTTTTCTTATTTATACTTTTACTACATCAACAAAACATTATCACAATATCGCTCACTGCTTTTAAAAAGTGCTGACAATGACGGGACAGGGACTGAAAGAAAACACAGGGCTTAAAGGACAACTCACCCTCAAATCCACTTTTTTTTGCTGATAAACGGTATAAATGAGTGTCCAATAGTGTTGTCTACATATCCTGGTCATAATTTTGTCACCTTGGTGCAAATTAGTTGAAAGTTAGACTTTCTGCCTAAAACCGTCTGTGAGGCGCCATCTGCTGGCGACCTGTATTACTACATTTGAATTTTGAATCTGGCGCCAACACTGGCACAGAAGTTGGACCTGACGTCTGCAAGTTGGACCTGACGTCTGCAAGTTGGACCTGACGTCAGCAGCCCCCCGCCCAGAGCAATGTAAACGGCCCAGTCTCGTTCACGCCCCCTTTAGTCCTCCAGGCTACGCCCATTTAGAGGAAGATTTGAACAGGAAATGTGAGTGACGTAAGCTCCGAGGAGCGGGGGTGAGAACCACTTTAAGTACAAGACACAGGTGAGGCACATGAGGGCGGGGCCAGGTGATCAAACAGGAAGTACAACTAAAGACACAGGTGAGACACATGAGGGCGGGGCCAGGTGATCAAACAGGAAGTACAACTAAAACCAAACCACAGAGATCCGACGTCAAAATAAAACCAAAGAACAAAAATAAAATCCACACCGTGAGAGCTTCAAACTTCCGAGCAAAGTTTTATGACAGATTTGTACTTTTTCCCCTCAAAAAAACAAGTCAGTGCCTTTTGAAACCCCTATTTTTCTGACAAAGAAAAAAGACAGATCTGAGTTTCATCCTCCGCTGATACTTCCTCGGTCCTGCAGCTTTTATTGAAACATCCACTCGGAACCACCCTCTTGTCATTTAACAACCTTTATCCACTTTATTCTCTGGAACTCTTTGCCGGGTCGATATGACATGAAGATCTCGCCGAGAAACAAGCTCTTTTCCCAGTCTGAAAGATAATTGATTTAGTGAGAAGTCTGCGTCGGCTTTAAAGGATGTGCCGTTATGAAAGCAGCGCTGGCTACCGACTGATTTCCTATTGAACACTTTTTTACTGGTCGCACCTATTAGTGTTAAAGCTGTTAAACTGTGGACGCCGCCTGCACAGAAGGCAAGGCAAGTTTATCGGCATGGCACAGTTCATACACTGCAAAAAGTGATAACATATGAGGTAGTAAAAGCCTAAATCGAGAACATTCTGACTTTATAAACTAGATTCTACAATGGGACAAAGCCATTTAGTATTATTTCACAACTGTTGTATATTTTTTTACACCAAGAACGTTTTGAAATTGTCCAATTGGCAAATCTATAAACATTTGAGATACGTTTTGCTAAATTTGAGCAATTCTAGACTTATTTTTTCTTCATTTTTGCAGTGCACACAAGGAAAATCAAGGCTCTGAACAAAACAAGATAGAAACAACAAGGCATTCAAATAAATAAAATCACAGTACATTAAAAAGAAAATAAATACAACTATAGTAGTAGTAGTTTGAGAATGGTGAGAGTCCTAGTAAGTAAAAAGTCATGTTTTTTTATGTAGTGCTTTACAACTGTTGTGGGCATTTGTCTCTCCCTGAACAAATCGCTTATGATTTTAGTAGTAGGAGAAACCAGAGCGCCTGGAGGAAACCTATGCAGACACAGCAAGAACATGCAAAAATCTACACAGAAAGACCTGGAAGTGGAATGGGCCCAGGACTAACCATGTTTACGTTTTAAAGGACAAATTACCATGTTCCTACACTGCAGAAAGTATTGCAAAATATGTACAGAATGGCTCAAATTTGGCAAAATGTGTCTTAATCTGAGCACATTCTGACTGAGCCTTAAACTAAGATGAACCAACGGGACAAAGCAAAATTATCTTGTTTTAAGTGCTTAGATTAAGATTGAAAAACACTTTAGTCAAGCAATTAGAGAATCACAGCCCTCGGATAATACCAACTACCCAAACATGTCAAAAAGAGAGAGAGAGACATACCAAAAGTCACCAAAACAGTCATGGATCCAATATTCTGTTTTTTTCCCCATGTATCATAGACTGTGGCATATCTGTAACTTTGTGCAGATCAAATCAAAATCAAATATATATATTTTTCTGTATCTGTTTTTGCATCTGAATTCTACATTTATTAATATTCTCTTTGTATATATAGATATTTAAAATGGTTTTATATTGTGCATATGTATGTATTGTGATTACTGTAAAAGGGGGGGATCAGCAATGTGGTATAATAATAATGAGAAATATTGAATATATGTTGCAATAAAGTACTTAAACAACTTAGAACCATGAATACAGAAAAACACAAATCAAAACATTACAAACACTTGATCCCCAGCCGTTGTTTAAAAGGTCTAGATTTGTGTTTTTACTGGAAAATACTTAAGGATTTTCATGGCCACCAAAACAGTCATGGATCCAATATTCTGTTTTTTGCCCCATGTATCATAGACTGTGGCATATCTGTAACGTTGTGCAGATCTGGTCCAGGCTCTTCAGAAGTGGATGTGTGAAGTCAGATTTGCTGTTCTAGCCTTGTCGGAGCATCTGCCTCCGCGGTGATGCTGATTGGTTCCCTGCACATCATGGAGACAGCTGCATCAGACCAAGGAGATGGAACTTGCAGACAGCAGATTTTGGCATTCTTTTCTTTTCTTTTTTTTTTTTTAAAGAGGAAATGGTGCGTTCATGAGAGGACAAACATCAGATAAATGATTTTGGAAACCTGGAATAGTATTAAACATTGTGATACAAAAGTAAGAAAATGTGTCGGAACCTAGAGCTGATTGGCTGCTACTACTACTACTACTACTACTACTACTACTGCTACTACTGCTACTACTGCTATTACTACTGCTACTGCTACTACTACTGCTACTACTACTGCTACTACTACTACTACTATTACTACTACTGCTACTACTGCTATCACTACTACTACTGCCTGGTCGTACCGCACCACTGTACTTATTTCATTTGGTTCTAAGGTCTGGATTTGCTCCATTGAGCTCAGTGAACAGGTGGGAGGGGTTAACTCCTTTTGCAGATTGAAACGATTGGATCTGAGTTTACCGTGACGTATGTAATGAGCCCGAGTGAGTGAGGCATTTAGCATTTAGCCTAGCTTTAGCATTTAGCCTAGCTTTAGCCATCTACTTTGCCACTAACGGAGCCTGTGGGGAGTAGAGCCACAAAATCTTTGCTTCAACTATATTTACTAAACATTCCTCATGCTCCGGCTTCAGTTTCTTGATATTTGGATTGAACCAGAACAGATTATTTTACTATCGCATTCTCCGACAAACTACAACCAGAAAATTCAGCACAAACTCTTGACGTCACCGACACCGACCTACAACACCCGCCTCCCCCGCTCTCTGATTGGTCGGAGGGGATTCAACCGAGGAAACTGCAGCCAATAGGATCAGACCCAGACGTACATGTAGGAAATGACCATGGACCAGAGTTTACACATGGTATGACCAGACGTACATGTAGGAGATGATCATGGACCAGAGTTTACACATGGTAAGACCAGACAGACTACTACTACTATTGTTGAGATCTGAGGTAATTTCCTAAAAAATATGAGACATCGGTCGACAGAAAGACAGATTTTTACAGGCAATTTCTACCAAAACAATATGGAAATCCGAGACTGGTTTAGAAACATCTTCCAAATGTGTGATGTGAACCAGGACGACATCGCTATGACGACGGTGCTCAGTGTGGGCCAACATCCGCCCCCAGAATGCAAAATACAACTTGGCATTTTCAGACAAAATTAAGGAAGAAACAGCAGTAGTCATGAGTCACGAACAAACGCTGCACCAGCCTCAACTTTCCCGTCCAAAACAACACACCAGAACTGGGAATAATCCAATGTTAGAGCCTCCTTGTAAAGTGACGGACCAGATCCCTGCAGCGGCAAACGCAGAGTAGCTTCCAAAACCATTTCAACGCCCGAGGGTAGATCCCGACGTTAAAACAAATTTGAGTCAAATTAACTTTCCACTTGGATAACTGTGTCCCCATCCATAATCTAGCTTTTTATTTTTACCCTTTTCTTTAGACGGGTGAGTCATTTTAGCTGTACAGAAAAGTATGTATGTATTTTTATGGTGATTTATCCTTCTGGGCAGTAAATCATGAAGAATATGGGCAAAAAGCGGTAAAACTTTAAATGTATGTCACTAAAATAGGCCTCGATTTTCAAAAACCTACTTTTTAAAGAGCAAAATGTGAGGCTTCTTTTCAAATATATATATTTTTCTGTATCTGTTTTTGCATCTGAATTCTACATTTATTAATATTCTCTTTGTATATATAGATATTTAAAATGGTTTTATATTGTGTACATGTATGTATTGTGATTACTGTAAAAGGGGGGGATCAGCAATGTGGTATAATAATAATGAGAAATATTGAATATATGTTGCAATAAAGTACTTAAACAACTTAGAACCATGAATACAGAAAAACACAAATCAAAACATTACAAACACTTGATCCCCAGCCGTTGTTTAAAAGGTCTAGATTTGTGTTTTTACTGGAAAATACTTAAGGATTTTCATGGCCAGAGTATGACATAGCAAGATGGAGCAATCTAGTTCAGATATATCCTTTTAAATGGGTCACCAACTCAATCTGGCCTTTCTTGGGATCTGTCTCCGAGGAATCCAACCAGACATCTATTTATATACACTGCAAAAAGTGAAGCCAATGGGACAAAGCAAATTGATCTTGTTGTGAATTTGTCCCATTGGAGAATCTAAGTTTAAGTCGGAATTCATTCATTCATTCATTCATTGTCAACCCCTTTATTAGTCCATTTCTGGGTCGGGGGGGTGGCAATGAGAGCTACCACCCAATGCTCACAGCACCGTTCCCCCTGATCGTCTGCAGGAAGATGGCTTCTTGACGCAGCCTTGTTCTTTCAGCAGGGGCTTCAGGCAACGTGGGGTTAAGTGTCCTGCCCAGGGACCCATGACTTTCAGACCTGAAGGGCCAATGCTCTACCAACTGAGCTACTGTCGCCCCCCTTAAGTCTGAATTAACTAAAATACAAACTAAATACCACTCTTTTTAAGCCAATATTACCTCATATTTAATCATTTTTTGCAGTGTAATGTCATCTATAAAACCATCCGACTTGAAGTATGGATACATTCATTACACTTGAACATACATTACTGCATATTTGCTTCTTTATAATAGATTTTATGTTATTTTATCGTAGTTATAGTATTGTATTGACGCAACATTAATGTTTCCCCGCTGTGGGACCAATACAGTTTCTCTTAATCTTACATATTCACAAACAATTGAAATCAAAAAGAGTGCCTGTATATGTCTGTATACTGTAGTTGCATGTTGTTTACAGAAGCCTGCACGCAACATTGCATCACATTGAATAGAATAAAATGCTTTGTACTAAGGCCAATATTTCTGCTTGTATGTTTTCCCTATGATTCTCCGGTGCCTTTTCGACCTCGGGGCACGGGTTTATTTAAAGCAAAGTGGATGTGGAGCTCTCATCTGGGCTCTGCAGACACGCACATGCCACGGCGTACAAAGTTACGAGACCCAGAACTAATGCATACACTGAAAGAGGGATGAAAAACAAGTATAAATTTGGTAAAAATTGGCCAAATGTATCTTGAAATGTTGACTGCCTTAATCCAGATTTTCCAATGGGACAAAGAAAAACTATCTTGTTTGAAATGTCTCCCTTGGAATTAAAAAAAAAAGCAACAGGTCGTGAAATCGGACTAAAATGGCGTTGTCCCATTGGTAAATCTTGTTTATCAGTCTGAATGTGTCAAATTACGACAAAAAACCACTTGATTTCAGCTTTATTACCTCAAATTTTATCACTTTTTGCAGTGCAGAAGTAATGCAACAAACACGGAATTGTCGGCTTAAAATCACGCATCATCCTTTTTCCATTTAATTAAAGTATTTTTTACTTATGTTTGTCTGGGGTTGGGAATATTTCAGATAAGCAGATTAAGTTTTGATAATACGTAATGCTTTGACCGCCTTTAAACCCGCCATAAAGGATTACACGCCACCCGCAATCTCACGTTTGAGCATATTTCACCACAAACAAACAGTACATGATATACAGCCGTTCTACATTGGCTGACAGCTTGTTTAACGTAGCATCAAGAGCTAGCCGCCGCAACATGCTAAGTGTCAAGTATTAGTCATGCAACTTAGAAGACAGTCCAGTGGTTTGGTGACTAAGGACTAATGATAATAATAACATATGTGAGACTGAAAGAATGCAGAGAAAGCACATGCAACATTTGCCACACGACACATGCTTTGAAGCTGAAATAATAAGGCTTACCTCGACGTGTTGACAAGTTTGGATGAGTTTTCCCATCAAAGTCTCCAGTTCGTTGTTGCGTTTGATCAGATTGCTCAAGTTGGAGTCCAGGGCTTGCTGTAGAGAGAGAGAAAAAACACCAAAACGTCAAACTAGATTCGGAAGAAGCTTGAACAGCCGGCACGAGCAAAGACTTCGAGACCTTTCTTGAAACAGAACTTCGCTGATGCCCATCCAAAAATCAAAGCCTGTGTGTTATTACCTCTCGGGGGTCGTAGCCCTCGTCGGCCCTCTGATGCCTCCTCATGCTGTGCCACTATCCCGTTTGAGAACCGAACTCGACGGGACCCTACTCTATCCGAGTCTGGGACAGCTGCTGCAGTGAGCACGCAGCCATGCAAGCGACGACCATCCAAGCGTCAAATTAGGCATCAAAAAGCCTCACCCCCCCCCTCTCCCACTTTGCATGAGAGAGACTGGAGCGTTCTGAGCAAACGAACCGGCAAACAGGTGACAGTGATGGTCCCTAGCTCCTCCCTCCTACTTTCCTTTCCTCCCTTAGTCACTTACTCTCTCGCTTACTCGCTCGCTCGCCCCACCGCCCCCACCCCCACCCTGTCACCCCCCCCCCCCCCCTTTGGCATTTCAACTAAAGCTGTCCTCTCCAGTATTACAGTCAACTCATGCATGCGTTTCTATGGAGGGTTTTTTTTCATAACAGGATTTCTATAAAAACCCGGTTTGTCTGGGAATATGCCGTAACATTGAGTCCGTCCGAGCGGAAATCCTGGGACGTTCTACCATTTTGCAACGGATTCACGGGACAAGTTTGAATAGAGTGCGTTCATGTGACATCACAGCACTCCAATCCAATTCAATGTACTGTATTTATATTGCAAAATTCATTAAAAACACATGTAAATATACAAGTCTGCCAGCTTCATGTATTCAATGTATTTTGCCAGTGAATAAAACAATATTTATTCAGATAAGCAGATTAAGATATGATAATACGTAATGCTTTGGCCGCTAACTAATCCTGGTTAAGTTTCTTGGTTAAATAAAGGTTAAATCAAAAATAAACATTACAGTCGATAAAGGGTCCTTTCCAACTAAAGGCTCTTTAGAATGTAGTAGTAGCAGTAGTATTATTAGGACTACAACTAATACTACTATTAATACTACTACTACTACTACTACATTCCAAAGAGCCTATAGTTGGAAAGAATCCTTAATCAACAGCTTTGTAAAGTCCTCTGCGATAACGACTGTTGTGATTTATGGCTACACAAAAATAAATCTAATTGCAATGAATATGACAATCCCCTATAATGATCTGAGTTAAAAAAAATGATTTTGATAAAAAAAAAAAAAAGTCTTTCAAAAATGGCTTCTGTCCCATAAAGTCATATTGGCCAATCTCTCTCCAGCTGAATCCTACACGGCAAAAAAATAATAAAATATGAGGCAATAAGTGCATATATCTAGTGTTTTTTTTTTTTTTTTTTTTTTATCTTAATTTTAGTACATTCTGACTGTGAAACACGATTCTCAAGAATATTTAGTCTAATTTCAAAGAACGGTTGCTTTATTTTCTCATTCCAAGCCAGACATGTCTTGAATCTTTTTAAACCAATCATTTTGCTTTGTTCTATTGAGTCAAATGAAGACACATTTTGCCAAATTTGAAACTTTTTTCTCCCCAGTTTTTGGCGCTGTAGAGGACAAACATAACCTATTCTGCCTTTTATTCCAACGCGAAGGGTTTAATTGCGGCGCTCTTGTTTACATTATTGTGCAGGGAGCTTACTGTCTGGCCTTAATACGCCGGTGACACACAAAAAGCAGAATCCGGCGATGTGGAGAAATGTGACGCAGCTCAAAGTATTATCATCAAAAGAGATAAAAATAGAGCGTAATGGCCAAACCGACGGCAACATTATCATCATCCGAACCCAATCAATTCTTCATCACGGCTAAAAACAACACATTTACAAAGGGAAAAAGTAGCATGAAATAATTAGGGGTTTAAAAACGTCTTGGTTTCGGTTATCTCGCTGTTGCTTGTTTATCAAATCTTGTTTGATGGAGTTTTAAAAAATGGGATCTCTGAAGTTAATCTGGGTTCCCAAAGCTTGCATCAAAGCTTTGAGCGGCTGCGATGAGATTCCAGACGCTAAGCTTCACTTTAGGGCCACGTGGGAATAATTTCTGTCATCTCCGGTCAAAGCAAAAGCAAAAAGGCAGTTTGGGAGATTTATGACATGTTGGTCTAGTCCCGGTTTAGTCCTGGTCTAGTCCTGGTTTAGTCCTGGTCTAGTCAGACTAGAAAGAAGGACTGGTATCAAAGGCTGGATTTTTTTCGTTTTTTCTTCTTCAAATTAATTCAATCTGTTTTCGGTATTTCCTCCAAAATGAAAGGAATTTAGAGAAGAGCTGAAAGTTTCTGAGCAGGAATTATTATTACATAGTTTCTGTATAAAATATGAGAGGAGTGGATTTGGAGCCATTTTCAACCTTGAGAATATCGGACAAATAATTGAAAATATTATCCCAAAAAACCTTTAGTATAAGTCCATTCATGTTCAGACTTCCCCATCCACAGATTTAAGCTGAAAATATTTCTATAAACAGTCAAAAAAATGCTAATTTCTTGAGCATTTCATCACACATTTCAAACTACACCAAAATAATGTGAATAAAACCGTACGGCTCCATCATAAGTATTATTAAAAAAAGTTGTTTATTGTCCAAAAAGAGAATGTATTAATAGTTGGCGTCATGGAAAAATTGGTTTTGACTTTTTTTTGGTTCTCGTTTCTTAATCGAGTTTGAAACCGACTTTGAACATGGAACAAAACCCAGAAAACAATTTAACATTCTCTAAAAAAAAAGAGATAAAAAGGACCAACGCTGCTGTTCCTGCCTGATAATGTTCCTGCCTGATGCTGTTCCTGCCTGATGCTGTTCCTGCCTGATGCTGCTCCTGCCTGATAATGTTCCTGCCTGATGCTGTTCCTGCCTGATGCTGCTCCTGCCGGATGCTGCTCCTGCCTGATGCTGCTCCTGCCTGATGCTGCTCCTGCCTGATGCTGTTCCTGCCTGATGCTGTTCCTGCCTGATGCTGTTCCTGCCTGATGCTGTTCCTGCCTGATGCTGTTCCTGCCTGATGCTGCTCCTGCCGGATGCTGCTCCTGCCTGATGCTGCTCCTGCCTGATGCTGCTCCTGCCTGATGCTGCTCCTGCCTGATGCTGTTCCTGCCTGATGCTGCTCCTGCCTGATGCTGTTCCTGCCTGATGCTGTTCCTGCCTGATGCTGTTCCTGCCTGATGCTGTTCCTGCCTGATGCTGTTCCTGCCTGATGCTGTTCCTGCCTGATGCTGCTCCTGCCTGATGCTGCTCCTGCCTGATGCTGCTCCTGCCTGATGCTGCTCCTGCCTGATGCTGTTCCTGCCTGATGCTGTTCCTGCCTGATGCTGCTCCTGCCGGATGCTGCTCCTGCCTGATGCTGCTCCTGCCTGATGCTGCTCCTGCCGGATGCTGCTCCTGCCTGATGCTGTTCCTGCCTGATGCTGTTCCTGCCTGATAATGTTCCTGCCTGATGCTGTTCCTGCCGGATGCTGTTCCTGCCTGATGCTGTTCCTGCCTGATGCTGTTCCTGCCTGATGCTGCTCCTGCCTGATGCTGTTCCTGCCTGATGCTGCTCCTGCCTGATGCTGCTCCTGCCTGATGCTGCTCCTGCCTGATGCTGCTCCTGCCTGATGCTGCTCCTGCCTGCCTGATGCTGCTCCTGCCTGATGCTGCTCCTGCCGATGCTGTTCCTGCCTGATGCTGCTCCTGCCTGATGCTGCTCCTGCCTGATGCTGCTCCTGCCTGATGCTGTTCCTGCCTGATGCTGCTCCTGCCTGATGCTGCTCCTGCCTGATGCTGCTCCTGCCTGATGCTGCTCCTGCCTGATGCTGCTTGTGCCTGATGCTGCTCCTGCCTGATGCTGTTCCTGCCTGATGCTGTTCCTGCCTGATGCTGCTCCTGCCTGATGCTGCTCCTGCCTGATGCTGCTCCTGCCTGATGCTGCTCCTGCCTGATGCTGCTCCTGCCTGATAATGTTCCTGCCTGATGCTGTTCCTGCCTGATGCTGCTCCTGCCTGATGCTGTTCCTGCCTGATGCTGTTCCTGCCTGATGCTGCTCCTGCCTGATGCTGCTCCTGCCTGATGCTGCTCCTGCCTGATGCTGTTCCTGCCTGATGCTGTTCCTGCCTGATGCTGTTCCTGCCTGATGCTGCTCCTGCCTGATGCTGCTCCTGCCTGATGCTGTTCCTGCCTGATGCTGTTCCTGCCTGATGCTGCTCCTTCCTGATGCTGCTCCTGCCTGATGCTGTTCCTGCCTGATGCTGTTCCTGCCTGATGCTGCTCCTGCCTGATGCTGTTCCTGCCTGATGCTGCTCCTGCCTGATGCTGCTCCTGCCGGATGCTGCTCCTGTATGATGCTGCTCCTGCCTGATGCTGCTCCTGCCTGATGCTGTTCCTGCCTGATGCTGCTCCTGTCTGATGCTGTTCCTGCCTGATGCTGTTCCTGCCTGATGCTGTTCCTGCCTGATGCTGTTCCTGCCTGATGCTGTTCCTGCCTGATGCTGTTCCTGCCTGATGCTGCTCCTGCCTGATGCTGCTCCTGCCTGATGCTGCTCCTGCCTGATGCTGCTCCTGCCTGATGCTGTTCCTGCCTGATGCTGTTCCTGCCTGATGCTGCTCCTGCCGGATGCTGCTCCTGCCTGATGCTGCTCCTGCCTGATGCTGCTCCTGCCTGATGCTGTTCCTGCCTGATGCTGTTCCTGCCTGATAATGTTCCTGCCTGATGCTGTTCCTGCCGGATGCTGTTCCTGCCTGATGCTGTTCCTGCCTGATGCTGTTCCTGCCTGATGCTGCTCCTGCCTGATGCTGTTCCTGCCGGATGCTGTTCCTGCCTGATGCTGCTCCTGCCTGATGCTTTCTCCTGCCTGATGCTGCTCCTGCCTGATGCTGCTCTTGCCTGATGCTGTTCCTGCCTGATGCTGCTCCTGCCTGTGCTGCTCCTGCCTGATGCTGCTCCTGCCTGATGCTGCTTCTGCCTGATGCTGCTC